CACTCCCCGTGCATCAGCTCCCCAGAAGGGCTGTAAGAGCAGCTCACGGTTTTGAAGCCTTCGAGGCTGCAAGGCGCTGGAGACGCCGGCGAATCTTCCTTTAAAGAAATCTTGCTCAGCCAGATAAATGGTGCTGTGCAGCAGGGGTCATTAGGCTAATAAGCAGCCACTGTCAGCCTGGAAGCAAGGCAACAGACACAAGAGAATCCACCAAAGCCAGTTAGCCTCACCATCTGACCCATCTAAAGCAGCCACCATCTGCCAAGGAGTCTCCTTTGGCGGAGAAGCCGGGCAGGTGGGTGAGCAGGCAGGGGCACGTGGCGGCCACATCTCTGGCCACTGTGAGGCTGGGGAGACACGGAGCGCACAACGCCACGCATTTATGGCTTCTCCCAGCCAAGGAAGCGCCGTGAGCCCGGTGCAAAGTCCCTCAACGGGGAGCAGTTCCCCCTCCCGCAAGCTCCTCGCTCCTGCATTGTCATTCCACTCTCGTGCTTGGCAAACAGGAGCGGGTTGCTCGGCGGTGCTTGTGCCGCCGTGTCCTTGACAGGGAGCCGCCGGCCTCGGCTTCCAGAGCACTGGGGAATTGCACCGTGAGATGGAGACGGGGCTGCCCTGCGAATCAGCTCTTAAATTGGAGCCGGTGATGCAAACGAGCCGTGCATGGAAGCTAACGCAGCCCCTAACCGGTCCTTCAGCTGTGCCCTGTGGGAAACCCAGCAGGAGGAGACACGATTTCCCCTGCTCTGCTACAATGCCTTGCGAAGTGGGATCAGCTGAAGCTCCCAGACTGCTAGCAGCCTTCAGAAAGAAAAAAAAAAACAAAAAGCACACACATATAAATAACCTCTCAGCAGGAGCCAAAACTCAGAGCCTAACCCCATGGTTTTAAGTGAACAAGTCCAATTTCCTCCTTTGTAGCTCTTGACACATGTTGGCTGCGTGCCCCCTCCTCGCCTTGTTCCTGCAGCAGAAGGCTCTGCACTGCGGGTCAGGGGACGATAAGGAAATGAGCAGTGTAATTTCCAAGGCCTCCAAAGGCAGCCCTGTCAGCAGCTCCGGAGGCGGCTTACTCGAGCATGGCTGGAGAAAGGAAACCGCGGCGAGAAGAGGCGGCAGCTGCGCCGTGCGCTCCCTGGCTGCCCTTGGCTCGGCCCCGGCTGGGGCTGCCAAGCTGCCGATCCCTGGAAAGAGCTGGAGCAAGGGTGGGAAGCCTCAGCCATGAGCACCTCAGAGTGTTGGGTTTGGACGCCCTGCGTGCCCTAAAACCACGGTGAAAAAGGAGAGAGGGGATGGACACAGACCGCTCCGCAGCGCCTGTAAAGCACCTGGCCATTTCCTTCTAGGGGAGTCCTTTGCTTCAGCCCTGAGAAGAGCAAAGCCACAATGGGCGCTGCCCATCACCACCCCCGTGGCACTGGGGTCAGAATCTGATGGTGAAGCACGAGGCTGGGGCTGGGTGCACAATGCCTCATCCCTGCTTGGCCATATCTGCTTGCAAATCCACCATCTTGAGCCCATTCATCCTCACCACAAAGCAGCCTGGGCTTTGCTGAACCCCCGCACGGTGCAGCAGTGAGCCAAGAAAAACAATAATTTTTAGGTAAGAAGGCCACTCTGGGCTTTTTTTTTTTTTAAAGAGTGGAACTGGTGGGACTCCAGCTCCCACTGCCAGCGGGACGTGCACCAAGATCTCAGTGGGTACAGATGGGCATAAGGGCTCCAAGGGCTCCTCCAAGCTTCAGGCAGAGAAGCTGCCCAGGTAGTTCTGCATCACAGCAAAAGAGCTGCCCACACAGGAGGAAATAACAAAACCTAAAATGGTGCATGGAGCTGGAAGTTCCAAGCACTGTGAACCTGCTGTGCTATCTGCTAGCAAAGAAGACAAACAAGAAGATGAGTGCCAGGGCGGAGATGAGGCAGAGCAGAGGCACAGTTTGGATCCCCTTACCATGTCCCCTCACTCTCAGATCAGCACCAGCACGCTCAGAGCAAAGCTACACTGACTTCAGGAGAGAGAACATGGGATGAAAACACAGCGATGGCATCCGCAGGGGAACAAACAAGGCCTTCTGCCCGAAACTGCAGCGCATGTGATGCAGAGAAGGTTTTGTGCAGAACCAAGCCTCCAGCAGCTCCTGTTTGCCTTTTCCTTGTTTGCAGCAGCGTCACATCTGGACAATCATCAGGGAAAGAAAAAAAAAGAAAGAAAAAAACCACCTCCTCCTGCTGAACAAGCTCTCAATCAAAACAAAGCCGGAGCAGCAGCCAAGAGCTGGGAGGCTCTTTTGTTTAATGCTTAACATCCCCTGGCTGGCCAGCACCGCTGCTGCCCCCAAATGCTGCACCTCAGCAGCTGGGCCACGTGCAAGGCTCAGCACAAGGCTCCATGCAGGAACTGAGCCCCCTTCCCGTCCCCCACATCTCTGCTGAGGATGCAGCAGGGACTCACAGACCAAGTTAAAGGAGGGCAGGGGAGCTCGGCAAGAGGTGGCTGCATGCAGGGAGATCCCTACCCCTCATTTTTCCCCTCTCTCCCTCCCCAGATGGGAATCGGCCTCAGAGCCTCCTCAAGCTGAAGAGGTTGCCCCACACAAGTGCCCAATGGGCTTCTCCTCCACAAGCCCAACTTGCAGCCATTCGAATCCATCATGCAAAAGAGCATCTGCTCCTCTTCCCAGCATCATTCACCTGGGTTTTGGTGCTGGGAGGGACATGAAATAGCACACCTTCTCCACACCACTCCTTAATTTCACAAGCTTCAGCTGATGGCCCCACAGGCCTGTTTTCCTGACTGACCCTAGAGCCACTCACTCCATTCCCTGTTCTCTCCCCCAGCCTTCTGCCTGTATTTTCATAGCTCTATGCTCTACTTTCGCAGACATTTCCCCATTCTTGCAGACATCAGCAGCTCTCCCCATCCTCCCTCCCACCTCCCCCCTCTCCCCCCCCAGTGTCCAAAATCTGCAAGTCAGAACCAGAGAGGAAACACATCAGCTTCCACATCGCCAACCACAACTCCAATCCCGCACACCTCCCCAGTGCAGGAGCACGGCGCCACCGGCACAAAGGGGCTTCGGTAGGCATGAGCACACAGAGCTGTGCATCCGAGGGTGCCCAGACCACTGCTCAGGCTCTCAGACAGATCAGGCACACTCTGCCACTGCAACCCACAGGGCTCCTGGAACTGAACTGCAGGGTGTGCCCATATGCTGCTCCTGCCCAGCCACAGCACCAGTGCCACGCAGCAGCAGAGGAGAAATGCACGAGAACCACCCACAGCAGGGCAGTGGCCACAGGCTGACTGTTGCTGCAAGCTGGGCAAAGCCCACACCCCACGTGAGGAGGCTCCTGTCAGCCCCACACACCTGTGCAGATCCCACATTTACCAGCACACGAAGGTCTCATCAGCAAACGATGCAAGGGAAAAAAGAAGTTCTTGGGGAACCACAGGCAGCTCTGACACAAACAGCAAGGCCGCTGTGGCTGACAACAGGCTGGAAGCCCACGGTGCCCACTGTGCCAGGAGCCGGAGGAGGCACAGAGCTACGCATCCCTCTGGGCTCCTCCTGCTGGGCCATAGGGACCAGGGAAGTTCACAGGAGCCACTCCTGCTCCTTCACCACACGCAGCAGCACGTCACAGAGCGCAACAACCTCTGGCACTGCCACCGCTCCTTCGCAGCCTGAACCTTCCTTACCTTCTCCGATTTGACCTTTTTCAGCTGCCGGCACTCTCCTTCCCCATCCTCCAGCTCTGACTTAACTCCCAAGGGGTTGAGCGCAGCTCCTGTGTCAATAGCTATACTCCCAAGCTGCTCGGTGGCAGCAGCAGGCTCCGTCCCCTGGCCACCATCGTACTGTCCCACCCTCACAGCCAGGGCCAGGGGCTGCAGCACACCAGGCTCCTTCTCCGTCGGAGCCCCCGCACCCTCACTCCTTTCCTTCTTGCTTTTGGACGAACCGCCCTCCTTGTCCTTCTTGGAGCCGGCCACGCTGCGAGACGCCTTGGCCGACTTCTCTGAGCCCTTGGGGGTGACGGCAGGCCCCAAACTCCCCGAGTTCGCGCCATCCCCAGAGCGTCCTTGAGCCTCCTTCTTGCCCCCAGCTCCCTCACCGGCCGTGAACAAGGAGCTGCCCGGGGCCGGTTTGCCACTGTCCTTGCCGCTCTTGCTCCTTTTCGACTTGGATTTGCCCTCCTTGCCTTGCGGGCCCGGCACCGGGCTCACAAACTTGATGTTGTCAGGTAGGGTCGCCACCGCGTTGGGCGCCGGGAGCCCCACCTCCTTGGAGCCCGACATTTCCAACTTCTGCTGATCCTTCTCCAAATCAGCGTCCAGATCAATGATGAGATTCCCTACGCCAATGTCCCATTCATCCCCGCTGTCGTACGTCTCTACCGGGTTCGCATCGATTCCTTTCCCTCCGGAAGCTCCGCTGCTCAAGGACATCTTAGAGTTAACGGCCCCTCACGGTTCAAGGCTCTTCCCTGCCTCCTGCCCGGGGTCCGCAGCGCTACGACGTCCTCGGGCTGCCGGCGCTCGGGGTCTGCCCAGGTGACGGCATCGCTGCTGGAAGGGAGAGCAGAGAGAGGAGTTACATGTGGAGGATGGCACAGAGGGGCAGCCGCACCCAGCTCTCGCCCCACCGCCACCGCGCGCCCCAACCGGCGACAGGGTGCGAGTCCCCTCGACCGTCCTCACGTCCCTGCAGCAGCAGGAGCCATCTGGCAGCGGTCCCTCGATCGATGCGAGGCCCTGGCAGGTCACAGCTCCCGGCTCCAACAAGACATTACTCACACATTCCCTGCTCGCCATTTCCCTCTGAATTATTGAGCGCGGCCCTGGGATGGAGGATTGATTCCTCTCCTGCCGATGCCACCCACGGCCGGGCTGCCTGGGGGGGCTGCTCTGTTGCCAGGCACGGGGCTCAGTGCCTCCCTGGGAAATAAATCCCAGCCCTGGGGCACATGGCCATGGAGGACGGCACAGAGACGCACAGAGACGGCGGGGAGCAGGGCGGCACGGAGCGGGGCAGGAGCGCTGTGCAGGGCCACAGCACCGCACCCGGCCGTGCAGCTGCAGAGCTGGAAGCCCTGAGCCCCATCTGGATGAGGCCCCCCTCCAGCTCTGCCGTGCCTGAGGCCTGCTGCTATTGATGAGCAGCACTTCAAAAACAGGTGACTTCAAGAGAAACAAGGGGAAAAAAAAAAAGAAAAACAAAAAACAACACACACACAGATTTCTTCAAACTCCAACAAGCAGGAGCCTGGAAAGCAGCTTCATGGTGCGTTTCCAGAGATGCAAACACTGTAAAAATGCCAAGGATTCTTTCATCAGACAGGCTGCCGCAGCCAGACCATTTTCCATCTGCTCCCCACAGCATCCCTGGCTCCGCGCAGCCAATAATCCACTCTCTGACAGGTCATTACGGAGAGCTTGAACCCCAGGAGCCAGGGGCGAGCACGCAGGCTGGAAATGAAAAGCACTGACCTCTCATTTCAGCGGCAGAAAGTGCCGAATCAGGAGCTCCGTGTGTGCTGACGGCCGCACCAAGGCTCCCCGCACTGCTCTCACCTTTCTCCTCCTCCTGCCCACCTTCCTGCACACACGGCTGGAGCATCCCGCTCTGCACCCTGCACCCAGGCTCTTCCTTTCCCATGCTGGAGCCGTGGCCCCGTGCCCTGTGTGCAGACAGAGGGGCACGGCAGCACAGCCGGCCCCGCAGCTCCCCAATGCTCCATGCCATGGTGCAATATTGAGAACACAGGCAGCAGACGAGGACGTAGGTCTGAAGCTGTGCAAACGGCAGCGGTGGGCGACCACGGCTGCTGATACCTCCCACAACAAAAGGCGGAAGGAGCCCAAAAGTCAGCCGGCTCCTCGGAGAGCCAGGAGCAAACAGGTTCAGCAAACAGGGGGAGAACACGAGCACCCAACAGAGGAGGCTGCCCAGGCCCTGCCAAGAAGGGAAGAGCTCAAACAGGACCAACTGGAACAGGCTGGGCTCTGAAGGCACCGCAAAGAGGAATGGGGAAGAAGCGGCGCGTCCCAGCCCGCGACCCCAAACTGCAATGCGGGGTGGTTCCCTGCAAGCCAACCCACACACGAGGAGGTAAAGTGGTTCCCACAGCCCCAAACGTTGTCCAGGTCCCCACGCCTCACACTGCCACTCACCTCCCGCCATTGCCCGATGGATCCCCGTGCACCATGAGCAGCGTGTGCTCACTTGTTGGCTGGAGCCTTGCCAGCACAGCATTTTAAGAGCAGTCCTGGTGCACAGATCCAACAAGGAGACAGCTTTCTGCTTGGGAATGCTGCGCACACGCAGCACCAGACATGAATAATTCAGCTCCATTAGGTGCCGAGACCTCTCCAATCCACATCTCCGTGCTGGGAAGGAGCCAGCGTATTAGAGACAAACCTGAAAGTTCACTCTGGGAGCAAGCAGCCAACTGCAAACACACCTAGAGGAAACTATTCAAACAGAGCACTTCAAAAAGCACCCAGCAGAGAGCCGGGAAGCTGCACAAGCCCCAGCTCTTAGTGCTCCAGCACGCCGGGTCTGGCCGAGCCCTGCGCCGTGGTACTGGAACCTAGGGAGGGGTGGTGGGATGCTGGAGGAAGTGCTGCTCCTGCCCCAATGGAGAAGGGCTGGCTCATCCCCGTCCAGGAGCAGCCTCTGGTGGCTCCCAGACACGACTGACTGCTACTTTTCACCCTGCGTAACTTTCAGGAAGCGAGAAGAGGTGAAGGGGACAGAAAGCTGGGGGCCGGAGGAGCCTGGCCACAAGGCATGCCCCCAGCTCCCCACATGCCGTCCCAGCACCAGATCCCTTTTTGTTTCCTTTTACGAGCAAAGTGAGCTCCGAGGGGACGCGTTCCCCTTCTCAGGGCCGCTGTGCTCGCTCATAATCCCCCGGCTGGGCTTGTTTGGGTTGGATCTTTGTGAAGAAACTCCCGTGTCTTTTTCTGCAGATCTCTTTTTAAGATGTTCCCTTTCTCCCCGCCCCCTCTCTCTAGAGATGGGGGAGGGAAAAAGGGAAAAAAAAAAAAAAAAGAAAAAAAAAAAAAGAGAAATGTTGAATGAGAGCCAGCTGGCACACACAAGAGGAGACGGAGAAATCTGCACAAAGGAGCTTCCTCACTCACTTGCTGCTTTCAGCTCCAGAAATCCAGCAGGGAGGAGGGCTTGCTCTCCCCCGTGCATCACTCGAGGCGCAGCAGACAAAGGCGCCTGGCCATGACACCCTCCTCGAGTGCCACCCAGGGCAGCAGGGCTCCACGCTCGCCCCGCGCCATCGCCAGGCGCACCCAGCGACGCGGAGGAGCCGCGCTCCCACCGGGCACCGGCACAACTCCGGCGGCTCCCGGCTGGAGCGGGATGGCGCGGGCACGCTGCCAGAAGCCAGCAGGCTGAGCCCCATTTGAATAAAATGGAGCCAAAGCCTCCTCGTTTAATATGGAGGTGCACCCCGGCGAGACTACATCTTCCAGCATGCACCGCAGCCCAGCGAGCGCTCCAGAAACTTACGCCGGGACTCCAAGTTTCCGCCGGCGGGGCTGTGACACCGGGGATGAACCTGAGACGGGGCAGCGCCAGCGGCTGAGTCATGTGCTGGCGTTCCTGGGGAAAGCCGAACGTGGGCAGCGCAAAAGCAGGGAGCTGCGAGAGCCGAGCGGTGCGGGGGGCAGGAGGGCTGCAGAGCGGAGTTTAGCAGATCTATCCGCCGTGACACCCACCCACTTCCAAACACACACTGCACGCCAACATAACGCACACCAGCAGGCAAAAGCTGTGGTTCAGACCAGAACTCAAGCTCGCATCCACCCCTCCCCAGCCTGCTGGTAACCCCAAAACACAACCCTGCAGCAAGGTGGAACGTAAATTACTACAAGGAATCCATAGATACGACGAGATACGGGCACACGGCATGAGATCTGAAGAGCAGGTTTTGCTGTGTTAGCCAAAACTCTTCTCCCCTCTGATGCTTACTCCGCTCCAGCATGCAGCACAGCTCAGGAGGAGCCCAGTGGGTGGCTGACAAAGCCCAGCACTCCCAAAGGAGGCACCGAGCAAAGCCAGAGCCCGGAGCACCGCGTGCCCCTCAGCCCCAACAGCCCGGCGTCACCGGCAGCGACGTCACTGGTGTGAGGCACACAGAGAGGGGGAAAGGAAAGGGACAAAACGTCTCAGGCCTTCTCTAGTGTCTAGAGATGGGAAAAACGGGAACAACCCTTCTTTCATCCTCAAATGGCTTTTGGAAGTGTCAGCACCAAAGTCACCGTTTTTCATTCGCCCCGAGCACGCACACCTCCAGATTCACAATTACTTTGTTCCGGCGCTTCGCAGCCATGGCATTGTTTCCCAGCTGCCTACCCCATACCGAATCAAACACCTCTCAGGTTTTCTCTACCAACATGCAGGGAAATCCAAGAACTTCCTACTTTAAGAGGACAAAACCGTGTCTGGGACATGACACTGTCAATGGAAGGCATATTGATGCCTGCAGAGCCACGTGAAGGCATCTAGCATCACTTCCTCTCCCTCCCATGTAGGACAACAGACAAATGTTCTTCTCGCCCTCCCTCCCCCCAGTGTGGGGATGGATGGATGCAACCCCATGGCCAAAATCGCTGTCTCGAGGTCCTGACGCAGGTACGGCCTCACAGAACTCAAAATTTGAGAGCTGAACACAGCCAAGAGCTTCACCCAGATCCACAGGTCCACATCCATGCAGCACCCAGTGCTCCCAACACACGGCTGTATTGGGAAAGAGGAGCTGAGAAACCTTGCCATGAGGAACAAGCAGGGGAACAAGGGAGCAGCTCCCTTCCCAGGAGCTCAGCTCTCCCATCTGTCCAGAACCAGGGACAGAATCACAGAATGGCTCAGGTTGGAAGGGACCACAGAGACCATGGAGCTGAGCTCCCAGCCCTGCCGTGGGCCGCCCACCCCCAGCTCAGACTGCTCAGGGTCCATCCATAGCCATGTCACTTCTGGGGAATGGGGCACCCACAGCTCTGGGCAGCCTCAATGTGGTGGTTCAAAACCATCAAGAATCACAGCACCGTCCTCACCCAAAATCTGCACCCCTGCAGCCAGGATGAGCTTGGGAATGCTCTGGACCTGGCGCAGGTGCTCTCCTCGCGCCCCACGGTTTGCTCCTGCCGAACACCAAAAATACCATGAGACACTGGAGAAGGGACATCTGAGCAAAGCCTGGCACTGAGCAGCGCATCGTGACGCTTCCCACAGGGACACATGGGACAAATCTGGGGGTTGGTTCTCCCTCTCCATCAGGAAACCGGAACCAAGGCAGCTGTGTGGATTGCAAACCGGTCTGGCTACACCCTTGCAAAGCCCCACATAGAACGGGCAGCCTGTCCTCACCCACTGGAGAGCGCCTGGAGCTACCCCAGGGCTTACACACCTCAGCCTTCGGAGGACAAAGAACACCTCTCTGCCACTCCAAAAATGAAGGAGCTGCCACTTCTCCTATTAACGCCTTTAATTCCCCTCACTCAATAAGCAATTAGGGCACCTTGGCGAGACGAGCAGAGGCTTCATTTGCAGCAGAAGACCGGAGGTGCAGCTGCAATCCCTCTTGCTGTCAAGGCACCAGCCTGGGAACGCTTTGGGAAAAGCCAGCCAGGCTGCAAAGCGCGGGAGGAGACATGCAAGCAGTGACAAACGCGGCACACTAAGGATCGGAGCAAGAAATCCCAACAGCACTTTTTTTCTACCTCCCCCCCTTCCTTTCTCCTTCTTATGGGAAGGATAATAAATAGGTGTGTTTCGCAGATTAATAAAGCCCATTTGCAATGCTATGATATACATCAGAAAGTTGCTAATTCACACTAATGGCCCATTGCAAATGACCGAGTTTTGTGAATTAGCCAGCATGTAATGGAACACAATAAAAAAAAGCTAGAATCATGCATCAAAGTGTACTCGGCCTATTTTCGAGCTGTAGTCCAGTTTTAATTACTTGTGGCAATGGGCACAAAGAGAAAGAATGTCGAAACCAGAAGAATACAGAGGAAATCTCCAGGACGAGGAGTCCCACCGCAGAGCCTGTCTGCAGAGGCACCGTTCTGCAGGAAGCTGGAGAGCCCCGGCTCCCATCGCTGTGCCAGCAGCACGTCGGCTCCTTCCAGAGAGGTTCCATTCCATCAGCCCCAAGGAAGGGCACATCACGTTTATGGAAATGGTCTCCAAATCACCTTGTTTTGTACCAATACATCGCCGTCCTGGCGCAAAGCGACGTCACACCCGACGGAGCGCGGCACGCAGATGTCATCCTTGGGCTGCCACGAGGGCAAGCGCCCCACGGCAGCTCAACGGAAATCCCATGCTGCAAAGCCTGCCCGTGCCCACTGCGTAAAAGCACAACATATTCTCTCTTCTCCTTTTTGTTTCTCACTCCAGAAAGTAGGAAACAAACTGCAGAAGTCAGGAGTTTAATTAACACCATAAGATTTTCCTGAGCTGACCCACAGCCCTCCTGCCTGCCCACACACCTGGCGCTCAGGTGAGGCCGACTTTCTTAGCACGTGAGGGATGCTCAGTGCAGCAAAAACAAAACAACACCTTGGCTGCAATTAGCAAACAGATTTTTTGCCAGAAGCAAGACGGACATTTCCTTCGAAAAAAATGCACAAAAACATCCCAGGAGAGTTGAAGTCACGAGGTGAGCTTCCATCCCGTTCCAACCACGGGACCAGCGGAGCCCACCGCCGCAGCCGCCCGTTGGAAGCACGGTGCCGTAGGGAGACGGACCACCGCACAGGGTGCCTGTGGAGCATCCCAATAAGGGCGCCACAGGAGAACAACTCGCACGGGCCGCCTCCCTGGGCTTTGGGAAGGCAGGCACCCAAACGGCTCCAAGCCATCCCACCGGCAGCCAGCAGGGCCGGGCTGCGGGCAGCCCCATCTCCCTCCCAACCCAAAGTCAGGGAGATGGCTTTGCTGTGCAACCGAGCACCGACCTCACCCGGAGCTCAGCGGGGAACTGCCCCACACCTCGCAGACCCCAAAGCCCACGTTTCCCTTACGCACCGCATAAGAGCATCCGAGCACGTGCCGCCACGCATCCCCAAAACGATGTACCTGGGACCATAAATACCATCCTCTTTACATAAGGCTCTGGATAAAAGGGACAAAGAGGCTTACCGCCTTACATCTGGCACCCGCGTTGCATCAGCAGCGCTTTAATCCGAATCAGAGTGCGGCCGCGCGTGGGAACGCCTGCCCGAGGCCGAGAGCAACACGATGCAGAGCGGATCTTCCTACCGCCGCCATGGGAAAGCAAGGAAAGGCCCCGCTTGGGGGACGGGTCCCGCTCGCGGGGGAAGGTCCCCAGGCAATTGGAAGGAGCTGCCGACGCCACCGCTGAGCCCCGGGACGCTACTGGCACCAACGCAGTGCGCGTCTGTTGGCCGCTCTTCTGCTCAGCGAGCCGTTTCTTCACGACTAAACGCGTTCCAGAAAGCCGAGCGGTCCGGGGGCAGAGGCCGAGCCCAAAAGCCCCGGCCACGCTCCATTACAGGTCACGGCACCTCGCTCCATCAGCGACCTCCTCCCGGCCGGCCCCGACGCGGGGCCGCTTCTGCCGAAGCACCGCATCGCGCCGCGGGCGGACGGGGCCGAAGGAGCTCTACGGGAGCGGGGCGCGAAGGGCACGGCGCTCCGTCCGCAGCCCCCCCACGCCGAACTCCCGGCGCGGATCAATGGGAGCCGAGCGGCTCTCCCAGCGCCGCGCGCGGCCGTGCGCTGCCAACAAAGAGCAGAAATGCGCGGCGCAGTCCTACGGCGGAGTCACGCACAAAGCGCGGAGCGGCCCCGCGGGCCCCGCACCACGGGGGGAACGGGGGGAGGGGGGGAGGAAGGCCGCGAGTACCGCCCGTCGCGACACGGCCCCGCGGGGAGAGGCGCGGGGGGGCGGCGTGACAGACGGGGCCCGAACCGGTGACCTTCCCGTGTACACAATGGAGGGAGCGGGCAGCGCCGCGGGAGCGGCTTGATGCGGCGCTCCGGCCAGCGGGGAAACGCAGGACCGAACCGGGCAGCGACCCCCGGCCCGGACAGAACCGTCCCGCAACCGGGGGCCGAACGGCGGCCGCAGGGAACGCGGGGTCACGCGGGGAGGGCGGCGGGGGGCCGGGAGCCGTTGGGGACGGGGTCGGGACGGGGGGCGGCGGAAGGGTCCCGGCACCAACGGCCGCCGAGGGGCGGTTCGGGGCCACAACGGCCGCGGGGGGCGCGGGGGTCCCGGCCTTAACGCTCGAGAGGGGGAGGGGAGGAGGGGGGAGCGGCCCGGCGGGCACCGCGGGGTCGGAAAAGGGGGAGGTGGGGGGGGTGGCCCCAACGGGCTCCGCCGGGAGGAACGAGGGCCCCGACCCGGAGCCCGCACGGGGGGCCCCGAAGCTCGGCCCCCCCCGCCGTACCCGCCGCGCCGCTCGGCGCTCCCCCCGCACTCACCCGCTCTCTCGCGCCCCGGCGGCCCTAGGTCTCCTCCATGGGGCCGGGTGGGCCGCGGGCAGCTAAGGCCCGCCCGCCGGGCCCGCCATGCCGCCTGGGCCGCTCGCGCAGGCCGCGCCGGTGTCCGCCTGGCGGGGCGGGGCGGGGCGGGGCGGGGCGGGCGGCGCGGGGCACGGCCGCTCGGCTCCGCTCGGCTCCGCTCGGCCGCGCTCGGCTCCGCGGGGACGCGGCAGCCCGGAGCCGGCGCCAGGCAAAAGGCGGAGCGCGGAGTCCGGAGCGGAGGGCGGCGGCGGAGGGGAAAACGCGGGGCCGGAGCGCCGGAACGGTTCCGGACTACGAGGGGGGAACGGAATCGGGCAGAAGTTCGTCGCGCTGAGCGCGGCGGGCAGCCGGCCAGGGAGCCGCGCAGGGCCCGCGCACGGCCGCGGGGAGCGGCTGGGGGCAAAGACGGGGAGATCCATCTTCTCCACAGGCAGACAGGGCGCGTGACCGCGGCCCGCTCTTTGGCCACACGCAGCAGAGATGCAGGCTGGGAACAGCGCTCCTTTTAATGCCGCCCGAGGACAGACGCAGCACCGCGCGCCGAGGCCGTGTCCGCGCTGCACCGCCTGCTGCCCGCCTCGCGCCCGCCGCTGCCCGCTCGCTCCGCCGGGCCCGCTCACGCCGCCGCTTTCTGCTTCATTAACCCCTTCTTCGCTCCCTGATGGATCTTCGAATCCAGCTTCCCTGTAAAGAGAGGGGAAAAAAAAAAACAAGCAACCCTCATCACTCTTTATTTTTAAATGCTATTTGCAATGCAAATCAGCTGGAGGCAGCGAGGTCTCCTCGTTAGTGTGTTGCTGTCACATTCAATTATCGTGCTCGAGGAGCCAGGCGTTCCCAGCCGCCGTGGCTTCCCTGTGCGGGCACCACACCGAGCCGGGGGCTGCGGGGGGGCTCCCGTGCGGGAGAGAGCAAACTGTCATCCAGCACCGCTGCTGGGGAGCGATCGTAGCACGGAGCTCATGACATTGCACTTGGGGGGCAATTCCTGCAGGAAAGCCAAGAGGCCGGCGTCATGCTGCCTCACCCTAACCCTGCCTCCCTGCCCATACCCAAGCCCAGCTGCAGTGTGGTCGGGGGCATTCCTGGGGATGCGATGCACCGGGCTCTGAGCTGCTCCCACCGTCAGCTTGCACCAAACTGAGCACATTTCTCATTTCAGCTCTAAGATGACTCCAACAGTGCTTTTTCCAAAAGCAGCAGACTACAAAACCGCTTGTTCCACCACAGCGACTTCCCTGAAACTGTCCCCCTCCATCTTTTGGGTCAGCCTTGCTCTCAGCTGGGTACAGAAACCAAAAAATGTGCAAAAAAAAAAAGCACACGAGCAAGGGTTCATGCATGGGGTTGAAACGGGGAGCAGGGACAAGACTCCAGTGGTGTCTCAGGGCAACTCCGAGGACATGGGCCATCGGCACAGCTCCTCTGTGTTGCCGCCACAAATGTACAGCAGCAGACTGGGCACCTATGGGCCAGCCCTCCGAGCCACCAAACCGTGGGGATTTGGCAGGAGAAAAGCGTTGATTTCACACTCGCTCCGTGCTCTGGTCTCCCACTGCCGAGGCTCAGCCACATCCTGGGCTGTTAGCTTTACCCTTAGCGTGACTGCCTGCTCCTCCCAGGCCCCAGAAGTGATCAGCGGGCTCCTCTGCTCTATCAGCTGGCAAAGATAAAACGTCACATGGGTAACCTTTAAGAAAAGGCTAAAAATAAGGCAACGGCCCCAGAGTCTCCTTCTCTTTACGCTCAATGATTTAAGGACTCTCATCTCGCCGGCAGCACCGCGATGCGTCCCCTCTCCCCCCTCCTCACCTCCCCACACCTCCGTGCTGCTCAATGGCGGCTTTGGGAAGCTGTGCCCAGATGCAAGGAGATCTCCCGCAAGAGCCACAGCTGAGCTTTGTCCTCACGCACTGACACTAAGCAGGGACATGTCTGGGGAAAGCCACGGTCACAAATGTGACACAAACACTATGCCCATCCTTTCCATGCAAACAATAACCCTGGCAGCAAATTGAGCTCTGTTTCTTTTTTTCCTTCCCCGGGCTGCTAGAAACGACTCATTTGCAATGGAGAATCATTCAGATGTCATTGCGGTGAGGTCCATGCTGTTATCTGGCAAGAAAAGCTGCACTGGCTCGGCTTCCCAACAAGACAAACTGGCATTTTGTCACGGCCGATCCAGGCTTCAAGATGAGCTCAGGTGGGGGATGTGAGCCACACTTCAGACTGCATCAGATGCAGAGCCAGCTCCTCCTAAAATAGCATGCCACCACGACAAGTGGGTGATGGCTTCCCTGCTCCTTCCCCATCCATCACAAGCCTCCTATGAGCGACTCAGCATGCCGGCACACACCCTGGAGGGGACACACAGCTCCACGATCTCTGCCACTGCAGCTCCTGCGCTCTCATGGCAGAGCTGGTGGGGAGCAGGGCAGGGAAGGCAAGGCCAGCAGCGGGAGTGAGCAGCCGCCAGCGCAGCCAGCTTCCTTCCAGGCTGTTAGACTGATCCTGCTCCAAGCAGGAAACTGTCACAACACAAAGGAGACTATGTGACAGAGGGGGGGGGGGCAGGCGGTGCCCCAACCGAGGCTCAGTGGAGGCAGATGTGACAGGGACAGGACACGGTGGCACCAGGGAGACTGAACAAGAGCAGAAAGAGGCTTAAAAAAAAAACCGTACAAAAAGGAGGACATGGCCCTGAGTGCTCAGCAGCACGCTGGAAAAGACCTGTCCCTGGTGGAAGGACAGTGCCACCAGCAAGATCCAAGACCTCGCACGAGCTCTGCAGATCAGCAAGCACTGTTTGCTGCCACTGGCTGAACACTCCTCCAGGATGCTGCTATAAAAGCTGGATGACAAACCACATCACTTTACCCCTCGACCTGCTCAGCACACTACGAGTATTTGCCAACATGCCCAGGGAGCGAGCACAGCCATGGGAGAACTTGAGCAGAGAAGGGGGGAGAAAACCCTCAAAAACAACACAAAAACCCACGCTGGGCTTCAAAAGGCCTTATAAAGCGGTCCTGAGAAACCCTGCCGCTCCTGCGCCGCTAGATAACTACTCCCAGAGAAGCACGCTGCAAATGAGAAAGAAAAGCCAGCCATGAGCTCTGCTAAACAAACAGCCAAGACTATTTCTGCTTATGCTGCTTTTAGCCTGTCAAATTAATTTTTCACATCCCCTGAAAGCATGTTCAGTGCCTTCCCCAGGCTGTGTGGTGAGGAGGTTGCTAATAAGGACAGAGCTGACTGCAGACTCCCCAGCTGCTGCATCCATCCTCCATTCTTTTTACAGCAGTGGGCAGGAATAACTGGCAGCCTGTGGAGGGCTGGTGGCTCATAAAAGGGACGAACAACGCTGGCAAGCGGAGTGCAGACAGATGCTGCAGCGCTTCACCGCCAGCTCTGCCAGGACATCCCATCCCCACTGGCCCACAGTCACACATCCATCTGGACCTACGGCCCTGGCTGCTTCAGGCCTCTCCTGCCAAAAGAAAAGCAAGCACTCAGCATGGGCCATCCTGAGCGCCATCGCAACCTGCTCATCTTGTGAGGACAAACTTTGACAGTGGCACCGAGTGCACCCTCATCAGTTTGCGGATGGCACTGAGCCGAGCGCTGCGCTGGATACGACAGGAGGAAGGGATGCCATCCAGAGGGAGCTGGGCGGGCTCACAGAGCGGGACCACGTGAACCAGGGAGGTTCAGCAAGGCCAAGCCGGGGTGCCGCACTTGGGTCGGGGCAATCCCAGCTGTGAGCACAGATGGGAGAAGGTCTCACGAGAGCAGCGCTGCGGAGAAGGACTCGGTGGCTCTGGTGGATGAAAGCCACAGACGAGGCAGCAGCGTCCATCGGGGGCCGGAAAGCCACCGGCATCCTGGGCCGCACCAACAGAGGGGTGGCAGCGGCAGGGAGGGGACCGTCCCCTCTGCTCTGCCCTCGTGAGGCCCCAGCTGCGGTGCTGCGCCCAGGCCTGGGGCCCCCGGCGCAGGAAGGGTGCGGAGCTGCTGGAGCGGGGCAGAGGAGGCACGGAGATGCTGCCAGGGCTGCAGCACCTCTGTATGGAGACGGCTGAGGAGCTGGGGGTGTTCAGCCTGGGCAAGAGAAGGCTGCGGGGAGACCTCAGTGCGGCCTTCCAGGACTTGAGGGGAGCTCAAAACAGGAAGGAGAGCGACATTTACGCAAGCAGAGAGCGACAGAAAAGGAGAATGTCTTTAAACAAAAAGAGGGGAGATTTAGGTTAGATGCTAGGAGGAAATTTTTTACTCAGAGGGCAGTGAAGCACCAGCACTGCTGCCAAGAGACCCCATCCCTGGAGGTGCTCAAGACCAGGTTGGCTGGGGCCCTGGGCAGCCAGCTCACAGCAGAAGGTTATAACTGGGTGGGCTTTATGGTCCCTTCCAAGCCGGGCCATTCTGCAATTCTATGATTCCTGCCTCACATCCCAAACCAGCCTGCAAGCACTCGTGCCAGAAGCAGATCAGCTGCAGGCATGTGTTTCCTCAGAGCACATGAGCACCATGATTCCCAAGTGTTTGCAGAGGCAGGAAGAGGCATGTATTTGGAAGGAAGCAACATCTGGGGAAAGGGGAACCAAAGACAAAAATATTACAGATGTATTTGAATCATTAAACAAACACCTACAGATCAAAGAGCGCAGGGCAAAGGTTGTGAACTCATATGGCAAAGGCAAGCAGAAGTGGTGAAGAGAGCAGGCAAGAAAGGCCAAGGAGGGCATCTGTGGAAACTTTACTACTTACAGATTTTGGGCTTTCCTTTGATGGGAAACTTCACAACCATCTCCTGGGGATTAGTGCAGATAAAGACAAATGGAGACCCAGATTCCTGGCTCAAATCCGGATACTGTGAAACACAGACACATGCACAAAACAGTCAGACAAACTGCAGTGGGTGTGAAAAGATCTCTACAGTGAGGAGCAGCACTAAAGGAAACGCTTCCAGGCAAACCATTACTGAAAAGGTGTAAAACAGGGTTTTACAGAAAGAGCTCTGCCTCAGTAAAGTGCCCTTACACAGCTTGCATCAAGTGAGGTTGATGGCTTGAAGTAGTTGGCTGCTCCTCTGGGCCAGGCACCCTGGGACAGGAACTCAAAGTCTACTGAGAGATTTCACTGTGGTGAAAGCACCAGGGAATTTTACAGGTAGAGTGTAAACAGAGTGCTTCTCTCATTAACCACAGTGAAAAGGAGAGAAATAATGCCCAGGGTGGGAAGCACATGGAAACGCTGCCTGGATGCAGCTCACCCTCACTGCTGTGCAAAAGTGAAATGCAGAACTATAATAAAAAAAAGCGTAAATAGCAACTGTCCCTTCAGATCCTTCGCTGCAGGCCTAGTGCCGGCGGGTATGTGCAGAGTGGAGGAACAGGGCAGCACAGGAGCTCGAGCCCAGGAAAGCCTGTTCAAGCTCACAGCGGAAGCGGTTTCTCTTCTGCGGGAAAAATGCCTTTTTTTTTTCCCCCTTGCTTTCCTCAAGCAGATCCAGAGAGGCTGCTGTATGCATGGGACAGGATGCCAGACCAGATGGAGCAGTGTGTCCTGGCAAATCCCCCATTTGTTCCTAACAAATGACTTCTAGGCGGAATGTTTGAAAAGCTCTCCCTCTCTTGCCGGTCTGCCAAGATGGGTTTGGATGTGTCCTGAACAGCTGGGCACGGAGAGCAGAGCAGGGAGCAACCCACTTTTCCTGCATCGCAGCGGGGTTTGGCAGCGCTGTCGGCAGTTAGGGGAGATTTACAGAAGCCTGACACCAGGAGTGGATCAACTGGAAAGCGTTTCCAGCCCCCTCATTTTACAACAGCACGGGCCACGTTTTCCGAGCGAGAGATGTACGTGCGCTTATCTGCGCTGTGCAACACCTGTGCTGGGAGAGGAAGAGCCACGCTCATCTGCAAGGCCCGCGGATGCCCTGCTGCACTGATCTGGTGCTGGACAAATTTCTTCCTTTCATTTTTTTTTCTCCTAAGCCACGTTACTGGACTTGCTTCTACCGCTTTGTGCTGATGCCAAGGATTTTCATTTCCCATCTGCAGGGAGGGAGGATCTTGGAAGGTTACAAAGCCCCAGTACGAATATCCCAAGCCAACGCCTGGTGAGTGCGAAGTGCTGGCCAGGCTTTATTGCTCTCGCTATCGCACGGGTGACTGCTTGGCTTTCCACAGCCAGGCACTGGACTTCCCCAGCAGCTCTCGCACTAGCGGAGCCCCTGAAGACCACAGCATAGAGCTGCGGGGCCGAAGCCACCATCCTAACCGCCTGGTGACAGAAGTGATGTGTCCCTGTTTATGACACGTGGTTTGGCCTCCGCTCATTCAGGTTGTGTGTCCAAGACCACAGAGGTCCTCACAAACCTCTCCTAGGTGGATCTGAACACCACGGTGCTCCTCTCACACATCTCACAGGCCCCCACAACGGGAAATATCCCCTAACAGGCATCCAGGCATTAAGAGCAGCCGAGCTTGTTTCTCCACTGACAGATCTCACCCAAAGCCAGGATCAAATCTTCAGCTCGAAAAGCTTAACCCAATCCCAAGGCCGAGATGGAGGCCACAGCTGTGGCTTGGGCTTACGTTTCCACACCACAGCCTTTCATCTCCTCTCCCAGGGTACATTTCTGTACACTTGCCAAATCTGAGCAGTGTCTGTGCCCTGCATTTTAAAAGCTTGAGTCCCTCCTCTGGCATCTCAGCCCAGAATGCTAGGCAGGAGCCCCCCACCAAGACACTATTTTGGGTTTTCTATTGTACCCACCCCCAAATTCTCCCACACCATCCTGGTGAGCGACAAGGTAGAATATTCCTGGCTGCTACAGTCAAATAAGCTTTTGCCAGAAGACACATCACCAGGACCAAGCGCACAGCCTCTCCCTGGTGCACTTGTAGGCAGTGGATATGAACTACCTCAGCAGACTTCATTCCCAGAGATCACCAGAGGAGTTAGCATTTCCCAGCTGCTGTTGCTACTTAGCTCCCTTACCAGCACCCTGTCGTAACATCGCGTGCCATCACCACGCTGGGGCTGAGCAACGTAACAGAGCTGCAGATCCCCACCTACATATCAGCACACAACATGCGGCCACTGCTGTCCGGACATCAACAGGATTGAGGAAAAGCACTGAGGGAGAACAGCACAGCTATTCCTGCAGCTTAGCACAGCACTAGGAGCCCGGTTCCTACCTGCCACACTCCAAAGACGCCTCTCCTATCAGCAGCGACCTGCTTGACTTATGTTCTGATCGCAGACACAGGCATCAAGACGTGAAGCACATTTGTCTCTGTTCAATTTTCCACAGTTGCCCAAGTGCCTAATGAGTAAAAAACCCGTTTCTCAAAGTGCCATTGGCACTTTGGAAGGCTTTTAATGACATTTACGATCCTTGGCCGCTCTGAGAAAGTTCTCCTTCTGTTCAGCTGTATGCAATTCTTCCCACCCAATTTCCTCCTCAAACAATAACGTCTCCCTAAAACGCTTCCCTAAGGCAATGGCATTTCCATCCCACTGTTTTTATCGACTGTCTGCAGCTTTTCTAGACCAGCAACAGAAGGGTCAGTGCTTCTGCTCTGGATTGCAAGAGGTCAGCCGAGTCGCTCTACAATCAATAAGTTGATGATGCTGAGAAAAAATTTGCTCCCAACTACTATACCCCACAGACTGCAACCACTGCCCTTCAGCACTTCAGCAAATGCAAGAGTGTAGGAAAGGGCCAAAGACCAGATCTAGTGTGCCAGAGAGAGCAGAGAGACCGGTAAAAAGGGCCTGCAACAGCTTTTTTTTTTTTCTTTTTTTTTTTCCGTTCTTTAAATAAATCTCCACAGTGAAGATAGAGGGCAAAGCACACTTCTTCAATGCCAGAGACCAAAATCCAACCCAACTGGGAGCCTGATGGGGGAATGTTCCCTCCCAGTTCCAACTGCACTCATCGTTCTAATCTTGGGGGTATAAATAAGATGGGACTTACTACTCTGGGGCTTTAGCGCTGCCTCTGTTAGGAATCGATTCAGCATTTAAGAGAAGGTGGCTGGAATGAGCTCTAAGTCTGGAAGCCAGGCTGTCCCTCGAGAAGGGAAAAACCCACTCCCATGACCACAGACGAGCCAGAAAGCTCTGAAGAAAGGGGTTGCACAATATAACTGCAGTGAAAAAAAACCAATTTGGTCTCCTTCCAGCCCTTCTGCCACCTCATACCAGGCTTGCAAGATGGCTGTTCGGAAGGCAGTGGGCACCGTGGGCTGCAAGCAGTTTGCCAACTGCTGCTTCAAAACCCCACGTATGCTCTGCGCATGGCTGCGTCAGCGCAACCACCGCCCTCCCCTCCTCGCTCAGCCCAGCCACAAGCAGATGTAAGCTCCCATCGTCCCTGCAAGCACGCTGGCCAGGCTTCAATTTGCTGCTAACAGGTTTGTAAGAGCCTAGCTGTGAAGAGATTAGCAGGGAGAAGGGAAGAAAAAAAAAAAAAAGAAAAAAAGCAGGTCTCCAGGCAGCTTAACGCAGAGAGCTGGAGGTTAAATGGAGCATCTGAGCACAAGCTGGAAGAGGGAGCCGCGCCGGGCTCCTGCAAAGGCCAGCCACCAATTCGCCAGCACCCGCCCTCTCTCTGGAGCTGGTGCTTTGAACACACATTAAGTGGCTATCAGATGTCCCCAGCAGTTACCCCAGTCAGGCTGCAGGCAGGGATAATTGCTAATGAATGTTCCCTACACTTTGCTTTCACCGTCCCTCATCTCCCATCACCAGCTTGTCACGGCCAAAAATAGCAGCAGGCCTGCCGAGCCTCTGCTCCACAGCCCACAGCCAAGAGCGAAGCAGGAGCTCGGAGTCAGCACGGAAACAATCCCATCCTCTCCGACATTAAGAAAACCCTCTGCAGTGTTTTTCCCCCATCAATCTGCCAAGGGAACTATTTTTTCCTTAATTGAGGTAAAGCCTGGGGCTGGATGCGGGGGCCACGCAGGCTTGCTCAGGCACTGCTGGCTGGTTTTCCTTGCAGGTGATATCCCTGCTTTCTCCTCATTCCTGTCCCTCCCGGGGCTCCCACGGCAAACAATGAGCGAAGCGGGACAGGCACTGTTTCCTTGGGAACCACCAGCGCTACCCTTGGGCCAGCCCTTCACCCTTCAGCAACGAGATGCACCTGCTTGAACCAAAGGGTACAGAAACAACCAAAGGAAAACGTGCAAAACCGTGGCTAAGTAGATGAGCTGTGCTCTGGAGGACCCAGTGGAGGAACAAAGGCCGTGTGCCATGGAGCACAGGTTCTGTGCGGCACAAAGCACTGAGCAAAATCATTCCCCAGCAGCTTTGCTGGTGACCTTTCAAGCTCCTCTTGCAGTCTTATTAAGGCCTCCAGACACACAAGCTGGAGGAAATAAACAAGAGATCGAAGGCTAAAAATACCGAGTGGAAATTGCCCCGGCGTTTGTTTTCCCTTTTTCCCCTGCCTGCCTGAAACCCAGAGCCCTGCAATGCAGCCCGCTCTCCTCCACTCGTCCCCGCAGGCAGCCCAGCTTCAGCAGAGAATTGCACGCTGGAACCTGTAGTCCCGCCGGGGCGGCCGCCGTCCGCTCCATCTTAGGGCTGCCGGGGGCCTCGGGGCGGGGAATCCGGCCAGAGCTCTGCGCGGAGGTCGTGCTGGGGGGGGAGGCGTTGTGTGGGGTCAGCGATGGAAAGGCTCGGATCATTTTCCTAGTGTGCCTCCTCGGAGCCCAGCGCCGGACCAGGACACCGGCTCGCAGCTCGGCCTTCACCTCCCCGCTGCTCTCGAAGAGCTTCAAAATAAAAGAGGCAGCTCTGGAAAGCAAAGCTGTCTGGAAAGAATAAAAGCAAGCAGAGCCCATGTGTTGGCAAAAGCACTCAGTTATTCCTCACCGTAAAACACATTCAGGAAAAAAAAAAAAAGTCTTGGCAGAGATGGTGTCCCTCTGAAAGAGCGGGGCTGCTGTAAGCAGGCCCATAAATCAGCCGTCCCCAGCAGGCAGAAACATGCACCAGGCTCCAAGAGCTGGGAGCAGCAGCCTGGCTGCAGGCAAGCAAGGGAAGCGGGAGGCAAAGGAGGTGAAGTGCTGCCCAGGACAGCGCGCCTGGGAGAGGGGAAGGCGTGGGGAGGCTCGTGAGCGTGTCTGGCCTCCACACAACTTACTTCCTTCGGTTTTCCTTGTGATTTGTGGGAAAGGCAGATCCGCTCTTCTTTCATGCCTCATAAGCTTCATAGCTGTCAGACTAACATAACAGGTAATTAACTACTAAACAGCCATTTTCTCCTCCTCTCCTGAGGGAAATTGCTCACCATCCAGCTAGAAAATGTTTCTTTAGCGGTTTGCAAAAAGAGAAAAGAAAGTCAGTAGTTTCTGGCAACCAATGGGGCTGCAGCAGCCAAATGGGGACGTCCATGGCAGCACTTGCAGTGCAGACACCAGTCCCATGTGCACGTGGGATTCAGCAGAAATGGAGCTCTCTAAAATGAGGGTGAAGACGCAGAGCAGGCCGTGCCACTGCCAGGCCACTGAATGCAGTCTGCACACCGCTGGCAATAACCCAGGCTCCTGCTCCTGCAAAAGAGAGGCTCAGGTACAACTGCAGACAAAAAGGACCAGCTAATGGTTCTGTGATGGTCCAGCAGGTAGGAGTTAGTCAACAGCAAGAAGAAAAATCCCTTCTTTCTCGCTGCATGCAGGGTGAGGCTTCAGTCAGACAGCCTCCGTGCCCAAGCAGTGCCCTTCCTTCCTCACTGCTTTTCCAAGGACGGGCATGCTGAAGCATCTTTTCCCCATCTGTTGTTCTGACAGCAGTAGTCTCCACTGCCTCGTTACATGGACATTTGCTTTTGGGGATTATCAAGCCAATCTTCCCAGCCCAGCCTTCCTTCTGAAGTGCTCCAGGGCACGTTTGCACAGCAAAGACGGCACCGACTGGCAACGGGAGCAATCGCCTGAGCCAGGCAACGCAGGTTTGGGCTGCTGTGTGATCTCTTCTTGGCTGCTGGCCTCACAAAGTGCTCACAGAACACCAAGTGCTTCACACTGAGTCTTGATCTCCCTCCCGACATGGTCTCACATCATGCTTCCAACTCTGAGCAAGTGTTTAGCCTTCTTTTAAGGACCCATTCCCTGCCCCTCAGCACAGGCCAAACAGGCTTCTGGCTCATGACAAACATTTTCCTAAACAGAAATCCCAAAGCAGATCCAAAGTTCTAGAAATGCCAAATTTTCTAGCCTGAGGCAGAAACATCCAGTGCTGCAGTGAACAGGCAACCAAGAAACTCTACTTGCAGCCCTCAGTCAAAGACCACCACGTCGTCGGCACAGAGGAGCCGCTCCAGGAAGGCTGGCTTAGAAAAGAGATCCGCAGCCACGCTCAATGCGAATCGACACAAGAGGCAAAAGAAAAAAAGCAGTTTGGCAAAAAACAAAAACAAAAGCCATCAGCCAAACTTTTGTTTGAAAGCCTGTCAGGTCTAGACTGCAACGTGTGAGGAAGGAACAGCTCAAAACCACAGCTGCTAATGGTTATGGATTTGGCAATCAAAATGTCTTTGTTAAAAAAAAAAGTTAACTGCCTTACTATTGAGGTTACAAACCGCAGCCTTGATGCATTGTTGCAGTCAACATCCTCCCTGCTGTTTTTGAGAGCTTACATCTGCTGCTGGCAGATAATGTGCTGGCATTGGCTCCTTCTATGAGAATGCACAAGGAATTTTTGCTAGCCAGCCTGCCTTCCTTTCCCCTTCTTCCCACAATCATGCCTGCCAGTTGTTGCCTGTTCTGCCCCTCACTTGCTTGGCCAGCAGGCAACCAGACACACAGGCAGCGGGCTGGTATCACCACGGGATCTTCCCTGGACGGTCTGAGTCCTCCATGGGCGTTCCGTGCCTCAAGCTGTGGTTCTACACCACGAGCTGTACTTTGACTCAAGGGGCAGGGGAAGCAATTAAACGTAGTAAGCAACAACAGGACTTTGAAATGTAGGTGTAATACTTAAGTTCATTCTGGTGCACTTGATTTTGAATCACTGAACCATGGCAGTGGAGGCAGGGCACGTCACGTCCCCTCTTCTCTCCCAAAACCAGCCTGTGACACAGGACCCACAGCCACCAACACCCTTCTGTGGCTCAGATCCCACCCCTGGTAAACCTACAAGCAGCACGAGAAGGACCTGAGATGTTTACAGAATGCCTGACAAGCATCAGGGGAAACCGGGTGGACTTGGAAAAATACTCAGTAGTGTAAAAGGCTCAACTGAAAGAACCATCTCATACTCCAGTGCCAAGGGAGCATGGAGGCAGGGCTAACCTCAGCTGCAATGCAGCCCCACTGCTTGAGCTGCCAGGAGGAAGCACGGCAGTGGGGAGGAGAGAGGCAACGAGGGGATGAGGAGAAAACAGGGCACCTGCTTCTGCTCAGAGCACCTGCACCCTGCTAGATGCAGCCAGGCATTTTCAATCAGCTCCATAAAGTCCTTGCTTTTTCCTTTGAAACTCTGATTTAAAGACTGGTGCAGCTGAGCTCAGCACATGAGGAAGATTAAACCTAACTTTGGTGAATGCAGCTCGCTGCAGATCAGATACCCACATCCCTGCCCTGCTTTCTTCCAGCAGCCAACAGTCCCTGCTGTGACCCTCGCTGCTGCTCCCCGAGAGGCACGACACAGCCTGCGGGCTGCTGGCGCTATTGATCTGGTCACTGAGGCATCAGGCTATTTCTCAAAGCCAGGATTTGCAGCTGAGTGGCCGGCCTGTTCGGGGCTGTGAAATCGATGCCGTGCCGCTGAAAGCTGAAGCAAGTCAAGTCTTTGGGCCCTCAGCTGCATTCTGTAGCTGCCGGTGCCCCTACTGTTTAGGATCACCACCTAAAGGCATGGCCATGGCTCAACCCAGCTGAGCCACAGCTGGGAAACCAGGGCACCTGGCTTGAGGTCGGTGTTACCTAACCCTCAGTTTCAGGATTAATAAAACCCAAGCGCCAAGAAGAAGGCAAATAACAGTGACCGCATCGGAAAGAAACAAATTCCCAGATCGCTGACTAGTTTGTTGAAATGGTAGCAGAGGCTAAGTCCACAGTCATCATTAATTAAGTCATATACTTCAGCCTTGGCTTCGTTTTTTCCCTAGGGTCTATGAAACCAGAAGACAGGGCAAGCTAGCCTCTATCATTCGATTTCTTTGGCATGTTAATGCATTCCTAAATTAATCATCATCAAGTGACAATCTCTCCTTCATCTTAACATTGAGCAGTGGCCTCGGTAAACCTGCTGGCTTATGCAAGGCAGCTGGAGCATTAGAACAGCTTCTGATGAAAACCAAAGCACTTCACATACAGAAAAACTCCCCCATCTCTGACCGTCGATAATCCAAACCAGCTGCGTGCCTACTCTGCTTCTACAACCAAGAACCAGAGGTGCTTTGTGTCTAGAGGAAGTACAGCGAGGAACTGAATAAAGACACGCATCACCTGTAGGTCCCTGCAGACCAGACTAACACCTCAGGCCATTGGATCTTGCGTCAGGCTCCGTGTGAATAAAAATTCAGCTTAGGAGAACTCAGAGACCTGTAAAGTTCAAAGGCCTTCCTGTTGGTTGCAGTCACTAACAGCCACCTAGACATCTTTCCTTTTGCACTAACCTGATCTAGTCCCCAAAACCCAAAACCTTGCTAAATTCATTCATCTGTAGAGGTGTGATAACCAAGCCTTGGGAACCAGAAGCATCTCTTTGGTGGGAGTGAGCAGAGGAGTCTCCTGGCTACGTGCACCAGACAGCTACGCCACTGCAAAAAAGAGCTTTTGCCTCACCTGCAGCTTGTGCTAGGAAACCTTTATGGAGGTCCTCATGGAGAGTCATACTTAAATGTCTGTATGTTCATAATGTTCTTCAAAGTACATTTCAACGTATGTGTTTATGTTCCTCCCTCTCATTATGTTATTTCTTGGGAAAATACCACTTGCGTGTTATTGTTCCTTTCCTTGCAGATAACCTGAAAAGGCTCTCTGGATTTTAAACGCAAATTTTCTACCTCCCTCCTTCATTCCTACAGGATAAATTAAATCACGTCTTGTATGCTTAGTGCCCAATTCTCTTTTTTTTTTTTGGCTGTTATTTCCACTGGGGAGGAAAGAGGAGGACAAGAGATTAAACGTAAATTTCCTGAGGGGGAAAAAAGAAACCTATTTAAATGATAGCTGCAATCTCGTGGCACAGAAATAGCTTAGACACATTCCCTCGTGCAGATTTAGGACACCAAGCGATCACCTAGAAATGAAAAATAAACACTTTACTCCCGTCAAACATAATTATCTGATATTTCAATCCAAGATTATAGCTACTGCTAGGTATCAGTATCTGTGTGTGCTTGCATTTAAAATAAGTCCAAACACACCTATCAACTACCAAAATAGCAGCAGCGGAAATGTTCTTTTTCCAGTTAAAGTAACAGTCTCTCTGATCAAAGTCATTAGCAAAATGAACATGGACTTCAGAACACATTAAAACAGCATAAATGTAAATAGTTCTCTGCTTGCTTTAGGCTCCTGCCAAGCCCTGCCTGCACCATCCCACGTTTCCTCAGTTACCAGTGCTGAAGTCACCAACACCTAATGCAGGAAAAGAAAGGCAGCTCCTTGCTCTGCTCGAGGTGTCGGTGACGTCAGCCCACAGCAAGGAAAAGCAGTCATCAACACTCAGATCTTGACAGGGGAAAAGTTTCCAGGTCACCTCTAGCACCGAAAAACATAACAAAGGGATCATTCTGATCCGAACCAGTGCTTTTTGGGTGGCTGCCATCAGCAGGAGGAAATGAGTCCAGAAGGCACTCCAAGGAGGCGCAGGATGCCTGAAGCGCCGCTAGAAATGCTGAGATGTAAGAGCCACACAGAGGGATCTGCTGGCACCAGCCCTAGGCAGCGGGCTGAATTCAGAAAGCAGCTTTTGCCTCACTCCCCTGGGAGCAAAGCAAGCTACACCAAGTGCCTCGGGTGGACTTTCCTACCCGACAGTAATGCAGCTCCTTGAGCGGCTTCTATCGAAAGAGCATAGCAAAGAAATTAGTATACATCATCTCTGAGAGGCAAGTGCTGCCTTACTTCCTGCATGGGAAAGAGACCCAGAGGAACTTACTGAACTAGTCCATACCACGAGCAGCATAGCTGGGATTAGGGCGATGTCATCTGACGTGACGCTGACTTTAATCACAAGGACATCTCTCCTCAGCAAACATCCTCCTCTGCTCTCTGCCAGCTACTGCATGCAAGATCTTGTCCTGTCATCACTTCTTGCACAGCCCTGCAGACCTGCAAACCGCTTCAGCAAACCAAGCCACCTTCAAACACTGCACGCTGCAGGGCTGACCCCTGTGAAGGGGTTATGCAAGGCCAGACCTGCGTGCCCAGTAATAACATGAGTAAGTAACCAGTCCCAAACAATAAGGCAAGCACTTGCACAGATGGAAAATATATATATATCAAAAAATATATATGCTCAGGACGGATGGATCAGCAAGAGCCTCCCTTGTCTAGTGGAAAGGATGGTCACAAGAGTCAAAACCAACTCCTGCGGCTGCTGGAAAAGACAGGATCAGCATCAAACAGCAGTGAGCACCACAGGGAACTATTTCATCTTCAGCTGGTGGGGAAAACCCACAGACACAGCTTGCTCTGTGCTTGTGGAATTACTTCTTGTGGAAAACACAGAAGCTTCCAATAAAAGTTGGGGAGAGGAAATAAAAGAGGAGAGGCATGAGCCTGAGCACAGTGCCTGAGGAGCCCAGCAGTTCTTTCATCCCCGAGGTCTCTGCGGCAGCATCACGTTGCCTCACCTGGTAACACACTGCAGCTCTTTAGAAAATTGCCGGTGCTTTCTGCGTGCTTTAAGTGGGGAGATAATAACATCAGCCTTTCCTGCTCCCCCTGAAGCTAGGAGGAGACCTTGTACACCAAGTAATTGCTGGATTACACTGCTGACAAGTGGCTTTGGGGCTGCTTGCTGATAAACCCGGGCTGAATCACCAGTGCGATCAACAGGGATTTCCTGCTCCCAGCGAGATCCAAGTTGGATTTCTGAGCTGGCACTACACACGTTTTTGTCTTGCTAGCATTTGCAATTAAATTAATCTCAGCTTCTTCCAGATGCACTTGCGGCTCATTCTAGTCCAAAACCACACACATTTTGTCATCAACCAACTTCAGAAGGATGCTCAGATCTCCGAGTTCAATCTTACAAGCTAGAGAAACGAACACTGCATACACTGAGCCTGGGTAAAAAGACTGAGAAAAACACTGTAAGAAGATAACAAATTAGGAATTGTAACAATTTTGTGATGTGGGAGCAGCAAAAGCCAGAGAGATATAAGCCCATATCTGCTATGGCTTTTGAGAAGAAAATCTCTTGCCTATAGGTATGATAACAGCATTCCTGGAATACGCTGCTCTCTTCCTGGTGTTTCTCCAGCCAAGTGGTGTCAGCAAACTGAGAGGAATTTACAGAGACTATTCTTTACTACTAACTTTCTCTGTGGAAAGATTAAAAATACTAGTTACCAGCATCTTGATTTCAAGATTTTAAGAAGCTGTTGCAGCCATTTTACCAGCACCTAAAGAACATGCCCACAGTGGAAGAGGAGAAATTGTGGATGATGATGATAGAGAAAAAAAAAATCCTACACTGACCCCAGAATTTCTTCCTCTTCTCTCTGCCAAGGTTTGCTCCTACACAAAGGCCAAAAGTGCCTGCAGACTGCTGTATTCTTGTCCCAAAGCTCCCTCTGCTGCTCACAGTCTAACCTTTTCCCCTTCCTGAGAGGACTGACCCTGACTGAAAATAAGCAGAGGCACTCTCTTTATCTGTGGTTTCGACATCTCTCTCGTAACTTCTGCTTGCTGAAAACCTCAGGGGTATGGGAAAGCCAGAAAAACACTTTATGAGAAACTGCCATCAGCCACTGATGCCTCTCCAACTCTTTGTGGCTAGAAGGCACTCATCAGTCTGCTGCATTCTTCTCCTCCATCTCAAAAGTCTCTGTCTTGCTCACTATCAGGTGAACATGTTGGGGTCTGCCAGCTCCCATTCGACCAAACCCGGCCGTGCATGGGGCAGTGGAATGAACAGACAACACTGAGAACGAGCCCACTGTGCTTAGCACTGAGTGCATGCTTGGTAGATCAATAAAACACACCCTGAGAAGAGCAGCTGCTCCACATCTGGGGCACGGAGTCTGACACGGCATCGCTGAACAGAATCAGACTTCAGGAGGTCTCTAGTGCAACCTCATTAAATAGGAGAAGTTTGAGGAAAAAATCTCAAGCACCAACATCTGCATTCAGTCTCCAGAGAGACGATGGCCAACCGTTCCCATTCCATTTTGTGTGCAACAGTCCCGCCCGTTTTCAACCCCACCAGCTCCACGCAGACATGTTTTGGACACACACACACTGCAGGAGGCTCCAGCGACAGCCCTGCTGAATGAAAGGCTCTGACCATTTGATCATAGAGGGCTATCAGATTAGTCAAGAATGCTTTACTCTAGGTAAAGTCCTCTCTGAGATGGAAAGACCAGTGTAGGCGTACTGCCTGGCTGGGCACAACATTGAGCAATTCTGTCAGCATCTTGTGTTTAAGAGAAACAATCAGTGCTTTAGAATAAGTCATATTCAGGTGAGATTAAGTCCCTGAGTTTGCCAAATGAGGACAAAAGCCAGAAATACAACACCCACAATGTTCTGTTGCACATTGGTCCACACAGGGAAAGCAACAGCTGTCAGGAGCCTTTGCAGCATGATCTTTCAAGCCTGTGATAGTTTAACTGAGCAGCTACGAGTCCTCACTGAAAAGAGTTTCATGGTATATGAGAAACTAGTTTCAACAGTGCCAGAGAGGCTGACCGTAGACTGAATCCTTACAGCCCACCATTGATGAAACATACTATCTTGCTTAGCCATACAGACCTGCATGGTAGAAGTGCCTCCTCTCATCACACTTGAATTTTTTCATTCACCATCTTTTCAAGAGCATGTCAGAAAAGTGAGTTACACCACTTGGAAAAAGCTTTCCAGAAAACAGAGGATTGTAAAGGTTTTACTGCACTCACCTGCTCATTTAATTGCTCTTGTGATAAACAATCAGTTACGTCCACACAGCCCAGGAGGCACCCTGAGGGATAATCATTTGGGAATGCCACATCTGCATCAGAAGAAATATATTTTAAGGGGCACACAACTCCACACACATCGCTGGGATCTCTCAATCCCCAGGTACCCCTCCCTCCCTCGACACACCTGCACTTTTTAAGGCAGAAGAAAACATCAAGCGAGTTTAACATTCTGAAGTTCTTTTTTTCCATGTTCGGTAGGGAAGGAGCACACTGGCATAAACTGTGTGCGTGCTGAAAATGGTAAAGGTTGTGCATTGCTGTCCCCACACATTCCTGCACGTGCCGTTTCAGCTGAGCGGCGTGCAGAAACACTGCACAGATGTGTGTGTAGTGCAGCCACTCTCACCTGCCCACATGAGAGAACAACATTTGTGTGGCAAACTGCTCGTTTTCCTTCTTGATTCCCATAAGGTCAGAATACACAAAAAGCCTTTAACATCCCTGTGAACAGACAGCAGCACAAGCAGCTTCTCACACACACACACAAACACACACACACACACTTGCTATCTTGTTGCTTGAGCCCAGAATAAAATGCTATCAAAACTGATCAGGGAAGTCAGGCACAATTCTCTTGTGTTTGTGCTTGGAGTATCTGAGCAGCCTAAGGACAGAGTGAAAGCCTGCCACCATACCAATTCAGCTGATGAAATGCACAAAGGATGAAGAGAATTTCAAGAACAGAAAGTAAAAAAATGAAGCAGTAATAACTGCTCAGCAGAAAGGGCTTTCTGACACTGCTCATTATGTGGCTCAGTGCACAAAGATCCAAGAAGAGAAGCTCACCTTTGTGAAGCAGCATTCTATAGGTGGTCTCCAGTTCAGAGATCTCCTGAGGAGAAGGTCTTTTGGCAGTAGCTGCAATCCACAGCCGCCCTCTATGAGATGTGTACCAGGTCCTGCCCTCCACCCTAGGAGAACAAAGGAGAATTTAGGACTTAGATTTCAAGAGAATTCCCACACAGACAGACTTTCAATCTAACGTTTTGCTAGGTAATTCCTGTCACTAAACTTTGCCCTGACTACATAAACCTCAAGCAGCATGTCAGAACTAGAGAAAAGCTGAGAAGGGCAAGAAATAATGCCACAAGCAAAGCGTGTCCTCACTCCTACGGAGTAACAGCACAAAAGGACATCAATCTCCTGTAAAAACAACAGTATGTTGGAAGTGTGCAGGACAATCTGCCTGAATAATTCACTCATAAGCTCCAAAGTTGAGCATGCGATCTAGAGAGTAACAAATGACCAGACAGCTGCACAGGGCAGTCCTCAGCCATGGATCTCAGTGCGGGCACCAAGCACCAATGCTGCACCTGTACCAAAGCAGCCCAGATCACCTCAATGCAGAATCAGAGGCGATTCAGAATGCAGAATCAGGGAACGCTGAGATTTACGGCATCTTCAGACTGGGAGAAGAGAAAGCTTTGCTCTCTAACATGAAGCATTCTTTGAAGGAAAGAATAAAGGCTAAAGATGATTCCTTGTTCTATATTAACGGCAGGAAAGATGAATTAACATGCCAGGGGTGCTGGGCTGAAGCAGCTTCTCTTTGGAACACAATTCCTAGGCCAGAGGGGAAAGGTCTGTGCAAGGTATGGGGTGGGTGTTTTTTGGTTTGGCTTAGTTTAAACAAAGTCTGCGACCACTATTGGCTTCTTTATCACAGACAAAAAAAAAACAGAAGAACATTTTCAGCCCATTTACCTTTCGTGTTCCAGAAAGGTACACCCTGACTGCACCGCAGAAATGTCAGCATCTCTCCATAGCTTGAACCTTCCACTTAGCTATTTTCATGAGAGACGGATTCACTGGGCTTCTCCAACATTTTACTCTTTACCTTTTGATTCCTCTTACGAGCAAGGAAGCCCAAGGCTGGTGCATGCTGAGGCACCAACCATCATCTGAGATCTCCTGTAACTCCCGGTCCTGAATCCGCAGTCTGTTCCGCTCTGAGCCAAGCTCCTCTCCAGCACCCATGGAAGGGGTGGCTCCCCTGTGTGGGAGCAAGCCAGTTTGGTCCACCCACTTCAGCGTTCAAAAGAAACAAGAAAAAGGTTAGCACTTCTCTAGTAGCAATATATACAAATGTAAATCCTACTTGAAGCTTTCCTTCACTTAAAGATAGCGTTACGTTACTCTTGCTGGGATCATTCCTCCTTCCCTGCAAAGAGAACGCTGCACTTGCACACCGTGTGCTGGCAGCAGGGAAGGCAGAGCGGATCCACTCTGCGTAGCGCTTCCTTTCTGCGCATCACAGCTAAACTACAGATTTAAAGAATAAAACTGCAGGCTGGTGTTTTAAAGTATTCATAGGGAAATATAATTTTCAAAGCATGTTCACAGCTGTCAACACTCAAAACTGGTAATCATCCTGCTTCCAGAATGCTCAGCACACACCAGTCGTATCACGATTAAAGTAGAATTAGACGCTGGAGATTACGCCCATCGAGATCAGGAAAGCTGGCAGAAAAGGCTTCATTAATAGAGCTGAAAAACAACACAGCCTTAGGCTGACTCTCAGAAATTCTTCCAAATTCCTGAAGAGGTGGCAGGAGACTGCAACCCAAATAAACCAAACCTCCTGAGAGCAGGGCCGAGAGCATGGAACTGGCAAATCCTCTCTAACTCAGATGGCAAACGAGAATCTCTGAGACAGGGGAGGAATGAGGCACTCCTACAGGGACACCAGAATTCACAATTCTTAAGCACGGCTCTCCCACAGTTAGCCAGAATTCTGCTCTAAATGAGTTCAACTCATTCAACAAAATTCAACCCATACTGACCAAAGGAGCAGGCTGAAGAAGATGGGGATTCACTAACACACCAGAACCCGGAGTTATCTTTGCTTCTGGGTTGGCAGCTGGCTTGTTCAGTGTGCCACAATTAATGGCTTCAATAGTTTCATCCAGTCTGCAAGGACAAATGAGAGGCATGAGAATTCCCTCCTTCCCCCTGGCAAAATCCCTGCAAAAACACCTCTAACTCGAGTCTGTTTTTTTAACCACTTTCCCTAAACTAGAGGATTTCTTTGCTTTAATTTCAATGGTTATTCTTATCTACCACAGAAACTCTTCCAGGTTGGAAGCCGAGATTAATTGGTTCTGGTGAGATAGTCCTTCTGCAACAACTTTGCAGGGAAGATTTGTGTCTAAAAGATGTGTTAGCTCTGCAAGTCTCACACGGTCAGGCTTAGGCAGCGATCTCAGCAGGTCTGTGCTGAAAGATTATATGCCACAAGCCAAAAAGACCCTGAAGGAAGGAAAGGATGTGGAGCTGCATCCTACAAACCGAGGTGCCCTTCAAGAGATTGGCTTGCACAGCTTTCCTCACACTCTTTCAGTAGCTACTCTTCACCAGCAGCATTTTCACCTCCCTGCCCTCACTTACTTGCTGTGGTACTCAGCCATCCCGCTGTCCTCCTCCAGGATCTGCCTTCCAGCAAAGTCGATGGTGACTTTTTTGGCAAGGCGGGAGGCATGGCGCAGCTCCTGCAGCTCCTGCTCTCTCTTCTGTAGGGCCTCCCTCTCTTGCTTGGAGAGCCACTGGTTGGAGTCCGTCGCAAAATAATCCGACTCGTCGTCAATGACCTGGGTGCGACGCACGCTGGTGACAAAGGACCACAGTGGTAAAAGATCGGCCCAGAGCAGCTCCGTGTGCCCCAAACCTGCCTCTCTTCCTGCTCCCTTCTGCTCTCAGACACAAAGCAAAGACATCCCAACAGAACACTGGAGGAGCTCGTTCTTGTGCTAGTGAACGAGAACACCAAACTTCAGTGCTCACAGCTGGGACTTACCTGGTCCTGTCAAACTCCAGCAACTTGTCTTTGTGTCTCACGGCCATCTCCAGGCCTGCTTTCAGTCTAGCTTCTTGCCGAGGCAGTAGGTCTTTGCTTACGGCATCCAAATTCCCTGAACTTTCAGCACCTGAGATAGAAAATAAATCACAGCTTCAGGGAAAGCCTGGCTGTTTAAAGGCCAGTCTCAGTAGGGCTGGCTGCAGAGATGCCCCTAAAATAAATGCCATTCAAGGAGTGAAAAGAAATACTTTGCATCAACATCACCATCTGTCTAAACCAACTTCTGACCTTTCCTCCAGCCTCTTTTGCAAAGCTCCCCCTCGCAGTCCGAGAAAGCATTTAAAACTGAGTGACAATGTCTAGGCAGTGTTTAAGAGACAAAGTCTTGGTCTTTGATTTTCCTTGGGCTTTTGCAATCGCTTGAGCAATCCAAACCCATTGTCAGTGCAGGCCTCAAGGGTCCTCCTAAAAGCCAAATTATCTCCTAAGCGCTGTTAGCACTACAGAGAGCCTCTAGTCACAATACACAGACAACAATTGCTAGTTATGCACAGAGCAAGCCTTGTGCCTGCTGCTCTACAAGCTTCTCACAAACGAAATCTTCCCACAACACACCTCAGCAGGTTTGTGAGACCAGCTGTTGTTAGAGAGAGAGAGAGAGAGAAACAGAAATATATTCCCAGCAATAATCTCTTATTTCTTACCATTTCTGGCTAGAGGCCAAAACCCAACCAACCAAACAAAAGGAGAAAATGTTTGCCTCACAGCAACAATGGAACAGGCCAATGTATTTCACAGAGGACAACACACAGCATAATGCCTTTATTTCAGGGAAACAAAAAAGCCTTTATTTCCCTGTAGCAGCCAATCCACATTTTTTCCCCTCCTGAGACAAACAGCCATCCACATTTCAGCCTTCACCTACACAGATGATGCACAAAGGGAGACCCAGCAGAGACAGAAGTGGAGCCCAATAAAACGGGTAAGAAAAGGGGATCCTGAAGTACAACAGGATCTCTACAGGAAGATTATAAACAGGCAGACTCTGACCAGCTATTGTTCCTGACAACTTGCAGGACCTCCTGCACATCAGCAGCTCTAATCAGATGTTGACACCAAGACCCACAGTAAATACTTCCCCGGTTCCTCAGCAAAGTTTATTTTCCAACCAAGAACACCGTGACCTTGGCTACATTTCAACTCAGACAAACATCCCCATAATGCAGAGGTCTTCACTGGGAGGCTGGCTATTATTTCCTTGCGCTTTCCTTGTCTCCGTTCTTATTTTTAGCTCCCAAGATAAGTGTTAGATGAGAGAAGCCATTAGAAAACTTTAACCAACACCTCTCTCGCCCCGGTAAATCAGATAGCAGCACTCCATCTTCCACAGCACACATTCCACCCAGGACTTAACCCGATTTTCAAGGACTGCTGTGCTGATCCAGTTCAGAATCGATTCAGGAATGCCTGACAAGCGGCCCCAGGGCCTCTGGGCGAGGACAGGACATCGCTCGCTGCCATTTGACGCTCACTTATCACCACCCCATGTCCAGAAACGCTTGCTGAGGGCATACAGCATGCTGGCTTCCCAGCCACCCCTGTAATGCCCACCAAAGACACCATGCAGAAATGAGGGCAAGTGTCACAGGGAAATTTGAAGCTACAGCAATTCATAAACTGCCCTGGCAGTTTGCATCTCAGAGAAATGTTCAGGCACCAGCTCATAAGAAAGAGTTTCCCTTTGACTTCGCCAACAATTCGTCATAATTATGATTTAAACAACATATACAACATATACAGATATGCACACATATCTTGCTTCTACAAAGCAAGCACACAGTGAGGCAAAGAAAATGGATTGGGTTTATTACTTTAAGATATGAGATGATACTAACCTGCCATGAGCTTCTTCAGCAGCTTCTGGCTCTTGTTTGAGTCCCGCTGAAGAATGTCCTGCTCTTCCTTAGTGCACACCTACGTGAAACAAAGGCTGAGAAGGACATCGTGTGGTCAACCAGCTTCAGAGCTTGGGACAACAGCTCAAGGCGAGCTGCTTAAAATGGCCACGATAGCCCACGCCTTTACTCCTTCTGTGCTGTTTACAGAGGGAGAACCCTGACAGCTTGCTCTTAACTAACAACCACCTGTGCAAGTTGTACAGCCTGGTTCTGTGGCCAGACACACAGCTGAGTGCTCTCAGAGGACAAGACACACTCAGAAGTTTCCTGAGCAGATGAACAAGGCTTAACTCACGGTCCTTTTCTGGGTTGATCATATGGAGATAAAGAAGTCTTTGAAAACTGCAGCCAACCTGATTCCAAACCTTGCCTACACCCAACCAATATCCTCTCTCTGCTGAGGTTAACTTCACTGAATCTACCACTCTTTAGCTTGCTCCTTTCTCCAAAAGGTGCCCTTTCAACCAAATGCAGGACATAAAGGAGATCCCAAATGATGCTGGCCCTGGCTTCTCTCCTCCCACTTACAGGCCAAGCTGGGCTGTGCCAGGAAAAGGCTGAAGCCTGGCACATGTTTTGGACACTGGTGCAATGCAGGGACAGCCCTAAGAGTTGCTCATAAATCAGGTAAGCTCCAAAGCGATGCAAATTACAAGGGAAATTTCTCTGCTCTCTTCATAAAAACACAAAAGTGACTTGAAGCCAGTGAAGTTCTTCCCCTGGCAGCAGATGCCACAGGCTCTTTCCTGCACAGCTCTGGCTCTTGAGGCATTTTGCTTAGGGAGCTTTGATCCAAGGCAAGAAGCTAAATCAGCACATTTAAAGCCCTGAGCAAAATATGATTCTACCTAAGAATGGCAAATAAAAAAAACCACCTCATTACTAACCAGTGAACCACAAAACAAGCAGGGTCCAGAGCCTTCCTGCTCACACACAATGCGCCCGCAGACCAAGCAGTTGTTGATGAGCCTGTGTTTCTGGCCCAGGCACTCGCAGGCGTGACGGCCAGGGATCAGGACAGCCAGCTTGTCTTGCCCTTCTTTGGTGTACAGGCTGACATATTTGGTCTTTCTCTTACAGGAATTGCTGCTGCTTGCAGTGCTGTTCTCCTGCGCCTGAGAAGAAAAATAAAGAAACTGTGTTCACACTGTAATACTAGCAGCAAAGAGAAAGCACTGATACTTGACCAGGCTGAAAAGATTCAGATAATCTCTATTCTGCCTAATCAGAATGAAATTTCCCCAGGTCCAAACCAAGACAACTGAAGGAGAACCTTAGGCCTACCAGAAACAATCCGAGGCATCTCACCAGAGCACGGACATGAGGATGCTGCAGGCCCATGTGATCTCTTTGCTACCTCTGCAAGCTGAAATCACTTGGTCTAGATGGCAGATGTGCTGTCAGTCCTGCACGTGTGCAGAGGTTTTCCATGTTCTGCACATTCACGTAAGCACAACAGACTCCAGACACAAACCCATCTCACGACACTGGGTGAGACTGGTTTCAAGTAAGAATTGCACACTAGCCATGACCAAGAAAAGGTAGGACTTAATATCTTGATGTCAGCAAGCATCATTCACCTATATAAACACACTCTGGACTTGCCATAATCATGACGCTTAACACTCCTCTTGCAGCTCAAGAACAGCATCTCTTTGCCTTTTCTCTGCAGAGGCTTCCCTGACCGGTAGAAAAGGGGAAACCATTCCCCACAAGGCCTGTTTTAATTCACCACTGAGCAACAACTTGCCTCTCCAGCTGCTGCATGCTCAAGGATGGACACGTCGCTCACACACTGGTTTTCCCAGCAGTAGTGACACACTGCAGCATACCTCTTGCTTGGCTGCTTTCACCAGCTTACCCTGCGCTCTGCTCTAAACCAAGCTACTAGCTATATACCAGCTACATAAACGAAGCCACATAGTTGCACAATGCTCAATGTTTGTAGCACAAAGGAATCCATTGCAGATCTAACAACGCCAGTTAAGTGCAGCACACTTCCACATACTTGCCCTGCGTAGCACGCTCAGCAGAAATAAAATTCAGAAATTCAGTCTGGGTAACTTCAACAATATTTGATAGCACAGGTCATCAAATTTGATGTGCTTAATCTGACAAACAGTTCTATTGAATGGAAAACAAGTCTGCTACAAAATGTATTAATTAGCTATCAGAAAGAAAGGTAATGAATGCTTGCTGGCCTTGCGCTGCTTTAAGACGGGATATCCTGGTTTTTAGTGTTTCTATTCTCATATTCTGCAGCTTCTTTCAGTAGAGCTCTAACATTCAAGGTCTCCTCTCTGGAGCAACATGAGACTGAAATATTCCAGTTTTCCATGAAGGCTTTATTCATTGTGATCGCCAAGTTTCAAACATAGCAAGAAGCAACGTTTTGCCCACATTCCTTAACGCCACAAGCTTCAAAACTTCACTCCCACCATTCCCAAGAATATTATTCGCCCCATGGCAGGAAAAGACTCCTATATACACACAGAGCGAGTACTGCCTGCTCAAACCTGCATTCAGCCTCAAAAGAGTGGCAACACAGAAACAGCCACCACAACAGGCAGCCATGCAGTCAGTGCTTGTGTATCAGATGCACCCACCTTGGCCAGGTCGAGGGGGGTTTTTACTTCCTCCACATGTGTGCTGGGCTCCACGAATGCAGGTGTTTCCTGTTTATTCCTTCCTTTCCGTTTCCCCTTCTTTGCTTGGTCTCCAGCCCGAGGTGCCTCTGACGTCTCTGCAAGAGCATGTAAGCACAAAGGCTCAGAGCAAGTGGCAATGGGACGCCCCTCAACTCCTGCATCCACTTAGGGAATGGAAATTGGCTATGTCGCAACATACAGAAATAGGACCACCCATAGGCATTAATGTTAAATGATTTTCTACAAGCAGAATAACCAAGACTATAACCAGAATAATCAAGATACTTAACACTTCGACTCCTCCCTCCCCGTACCACTCACCATCCTTTTTCCGATAGGCCGGTAAGGGCTCAGCAGGTGACTGCGAGGACTGCTGCCAGCGCGACAGCAGCTCTTCCACAAACCTCCCCTTCTTCCCCTCGGTGCCTTGGAGGAGATCAACCACGTACTCACGGATCTCATCCTCGTTTGTTATCGACAGGATGTAGCTGCAGGACGGTGGGATGGAGAGAAGTGGGTATGGGGGCTTTTGTTGTCAGGACTCCAACGGTCCGATCACACACACAAGGAACTAGCAGAACTCATCTCCCCTCTTCATACCAGGTTTTTGTGGAGTTTATAGGAAGGGAAAGGAGGTTTTCTAAGATAAATGCTTAAACAGATGCATTGGGAAAAGTCTTGTGGCTTTTTCAGTTAAATTAATAATAAAGGAAAACAAACTGCCTTTCTTCCTCCATTCTGGGCTAAGCAACATTCCCATTGCCCCATAATAATAATAAATAATCAGTGGGCTGTTGTTTGCACTCACATAAAGTAAAAAAGCCTAAACCTAAGACAATGAGAAGCTCCTGCTTAACCACACAGAGCCCACAGCTAAACGCACACCCCTCTCAGTGCCAAAATCAAGGGCAATCCAAGGCACAGAGGTGCCACGGAGCCATTTGGGGAGCAAGACCCCCAAAGCCAGAGAAAGGGGACAGCTGCTGGGTTCCCTAAACAGCTTCCTAACGGCAGCTGTCGTGCTGGGTAACAGACGGGTCCGAAAGAAGGATTTCCCATTTGCTCACGTAGAGGATGCGAACCAGGAGTCGAGGAGAACCGAAGGACAGGCAGAGGACCTGGGGAGGGCCGTGAGGGGAAGGGGAACCCTCAGGAGGTACGAGGCACGGGGAGGACGTGAGGAGGACCGAGGGACCGGGTTGGGGAAACGGGAGCGGGACGGGGGAGCCCAGCGGCAGCGCGATGCAGGGCGGCCCGTGGCGGCGGGCAGGCTCACCGCACGACCTCCTCGCCCACGTCCAGCCCGAAGTCGCCGCGCAGGCGCCGCACGCACCAGCCCAGCAACGCGCCGGGCACCGCCATCTTCGCGTGGGGACGGGAAATGGCGGCGCACCGCCGTCCCCCGGAAACGCGGCCCCGGCGCTCCCGTTCCGCGGGTCGAAGAACCGAGAGGCGTTCTCCTCGGAGAGCTTATCGCGTTTTGCCCCAGCCGGGCTCTGGGACAGTTCACCCTCTCAGGGCTTTGTTACGAAAAACGCAGCTTGTACGCACCTACCCTATACACAAACATCCCATACACGCATCCTTTTTTAATACTAAGTGACGGAGAAAAAGCTGGCAGAGCAGGAAAGCCTGGTGCCGCCCCCGATACGGCCGCGCTACGAGGACCGCGAGTAGCCGAGCAGCAGCAGGATGAGGGCTGCGCGACCCCGGCCATCCCCCGGCCGAGCGACCGGCCGCGGGAAACTGCGATAAGAGACGGGAAACTGCACGAGATTCCGAGGAGGGGGACGCAGAGTTGGGCAGGAGAGCGGCCGTCAGCTACAAGCGCGGTCCGGGCGGTACCCGGCTCCAGGCTGCGGCTGAGCGGCCCCTGAGCGCGGGGCTGAGGCGAAACTCGGTGAGGGGAGGAGCGAGCGCTGAGGTAACTCGCTCTCCCATTGGTGGGTTGGTGGGTCGGCGCTGAGGTAACTCGCGCTCCCATTGGTGGACGTGTGTCGGTAGTGCTGCTGGCGCGGGATGGCGCGCATTAAAGGGAGCGGTGTTGGCGGCGCGTGCCGTAAAGGTGAGGGCCGAGGTGGGGACTTGCGTTAGGGCCTGCCGCTCACCGCAGTGTTGGCTGGCCGCGCACCGCGGAAGGTGCTGAGCTCAGGCAAGCTCAACGCGGCCCGCTCGCCGCCGCGTCCTGCCCGGCGCATCGGGGGAAACCTGGTGTGTGTGAGGCCCGTTCCCGCCTGGCCGGAGGGCATAGAGGAGTTCCTGCGGCACAGCAGAACTGCGATCCCGACGGAGAAGCGGCAGGGAGCAGTGGGCAGGGCAAGAAAAGGCAGCATTGGGCTAGCTGAGGTCCTCAGGTTGCTTTCCTGCAGGAGATCTGTTTGCTCTCACAGTCTCGCTGAGCCCTTTCTCGCCCGCTGCCCTGCGGCTCGTCGCGTGGAAAACAGCGGGCGTGATCTTAAAAAAACGGAGCTTCAGTTCAGCTTTTGAGCAGGACTAAAAGTAGACGTTTGAGAGGCTGTGGGGGAAGCTGTGGTAAAACTGGGGTGAAACTAAGAAGTTTCTGAAGCACAGTGATAGCACACTGTGTCACGGAGTTCCCCGTGCCCTGGGACTTGTGGGCACAGAGTGAGCGGTGCGTTCTGGAGAACTTCACCTCTGTTATTATTGCTACTGCAACCTTAACGTAGTGTTCTGCTTTGGAGTTCCAGGTTCCTGAGTCCCCCTCTCATTTCTTGTAAGTCTGGTGATTTGATGGTAATACCCTCGGTGAGGTCCGTGCGAACACTGCAGCTTCTTTAATTGTGGGGGGCGAAGAAGGAAACCCAGAACCCAGTGGTCTTGAGTGCTCTCTGTAAGTAGATTTTAAAATGTTTTTAATAAAATAGGAACAAGCAGAGAACTGCTAACAGAAGTTAAACCAACTACCGTGGCAGCATTGCCCAATTTATTTGTCTCAGTTCGTTAGAGCTCTCGCAAACGTCCACGAAGACGAAAAGAAGAAATTCCCCACGCTGACAATAGATGTCAGCAGCACTTCCAGCTGCCAAGGGCTGGGCTGTGCCGGTAATCCGGCAGTGCCCATTTTGCCCTTTCTTTTTTTTTTTTTTTTTTTTTTTTTTACATCAGAAAGGTATTGGTGCTTTGAAGAGGATTTTGGGCACGTAGCAAAGCAGCATTCATAGAGGTGATAGGTAGGGAATATGTGATAGTGGGGATTTGATGGTGCTGGGGCCTTGGGTAAGGACTGTTGCTGCCAAGCTCTCCGCATACCCCCTTTCCTGGTGTTTTTCTGCTTTCCTTTAAAAAACAAACTCATTTCTGAGTAACAAACGTACCCATTTCTGTCCATCTGAAGCTGGTGGGCCTGCACATTGCTGCTGCACACCGAGCCGATGCTGAGGCTGCTTCCAGCAGGAGAAAGGAGGACGGGATGCAGCCTCCTGCCGAGTGCCAGCGGTGCGTGAGGAGCTGGAGGTTAGCGCACAGCCTGCAGGACGCCCCTCCGCTCCTCTTCGTTGCCCACTTGCCCCATGCTGACTGGGGCTGGCGACCCGTGAGGCCGTTCGGGTGGCGGCTCCTGGCGCGGCGCTGAGCGACGCCCGACAGCGGCACGATTGTGCGCTGCGCGCTGCACAAAGCCGCATTGTCACAGCCGGTGCGTGGAATGGGGCCGCCGCGCCCCCGGCGGCAGCCGCGCTGTGACAAGTGCCCCACAGCGGGGCCGCGCAGCAGCCCGGCGCTGCCCAGAGCGGCTGCGGGAGGCTGGGGCTGGCCGTGACACGGTCAGGAGAGTGCGGGACGGGGATCGGCTGTAAACTGGAAAGGGAGGTACGGGGTGAGAGCTGCGAAGTTGTTCGCTGCGAGGGCGGGGAGCCCCGGCACAGGCGGCCCTGGGGGCCTCGTACTTTAAAAAAGCAAACAGTGAATGTTAACGTGGTGCCGGCTTTGTTGTACGGTTAGTTTGTGCCGTTCCGCGGCCGTTTCGTCCTCCCCGCCCACACGCCGCCCCGACATCGGCCCGGCTTCCGCATGGCAACCGAACGCGGTTGCTAGGGCGAGCCCGCCGCCGCCGCCACCCGGAAGTGCTGCGGGGCGGCGCCGCCGCTTCCTCGCCATAGGGCGGTGCCTGAGGAGGGGCGGGGCTTCCCCGAGCGCTTCCGGGTCGGCGCTCTCCCCGTCGAGCGCGGCGGAGGGAGGAGCAGCGGCGGGGCCTGGCCGGCCCAGCCCAGCTCAGCCCGGCGCAGCCAGGTAGGGCCCGGGGCCGGGGGGTTCGGGGCCTCGGGGCTCGGCCGTGCCGCGCCCGGCCTCTTCGCGAACGAGGGCTCGTTCGCGGAGCCGCCCTGAGCGCGGGCGGGAGCGAGCGTCCGTACCCGGAGCCGCCTCACCGGGTGCGGGGCCCGCGAGCGGCTGCCCCTGGGGCTCCGTTGTGAGGAGGGCTTGTCGCGGGTGGGGCCGTGCCGCGTTTCCCGGCGGAGCGGCGTCCCGAGCCGTGCCCGGGCTGCGTGCGTGGCTCCGGCTTCTTTGTGTCCCCCGGTGTCCGGGGAATCGGCCGTGCTCGGCGCGATGTGGGCGCGGGGCTGGCCGGCGGGCCGGCTTCCACCCGGGCCCCACAGCGCCGAGCTCCTGCCTCCTCTTCCCCGGGAGGCGGTGGGCTTTGCGGGCGCGCGGCCCGGCGCCCGGCCGTAGCGCTGCTCTCCGCTCCAGGAGCACCGTCCTCAGCTTCCCACCGTTCCTCCGGTGCCGCCGGTGTGCGCTCGGGCCTGATTTATTTTGTTATCGGTGAACTATCGCGTACGGGCAGCCGGCTGCCACTCCCTGAGTCCTTCAGCGCTCGGTGCCCCAGCTGCTGCCTTCGATTTGCATCGATCTCCCATCTCTGTAGCGGCCGAAGTTGCTTTTTTTATTGTAATCCCCTGTCGGTACCCCCGGCTGCCTGCCGAGGCTGGTGGGCGAGCGGAGAAGAGGGAGCTTTGTTCCCATGTAGCAGCTCTTATCAAATATTAGCGGCACATTCCCACAGAAACATTCCGAAAATACAAAGAGCTGCTTTGAGTGGTGAGCAGGGAGAGATCGCCTTCGTGCAGAGGGGTCCTCGCTGGATGTGGTGTTTTGGCGGCGAGGCTCTCCTGGGAGCGGAACACTGATGTTGTTCTGAGGGTCTGGGTGTTGTGGATGGATTTGCTGTGGTGTCCTGCATGCAAATAGCTGGGGGTCCTCTATAGATGCTACTAATTATAAGTATTGTCAAGCAGTGTTGTGCAGGAGGGGTGACCCCAGGAAAGGTGCAACCTGTTGGCAAAAGATCTCAAATGTGTTGTGCTTAGAAAAGGTCATTCTGTCTTAGCAAAGCTCATAAAAACAAAGTGTGCTTAGAAAGCTTAGCTGGTGAGAAATAGCCAGGGATGTCTGTTCTTGGTGAAGTTGCTGCTAGCGGTGTAGTGGTACCCTGGTATGGGTGATACAGAAAGCTTTTGGCAAAAATCCTGCTGACTCCAGTGAAATACTAAACTATGGGCTCGATAAAATCGCTGCCTTCCACTTATGCCTTGCATAAGTAGCTATTCTCCGTTCAGATACAAATGTTTCTTCCAGTGCTGTCTGCCATGAAATTCCATTTTCTGGACTCATTGAAGCGTCCTTTACTGCCTTTTCCTGTTGCTCTTTTTTTTGGGGAGGAGCTGCTGGGTTGTGAAGGCCTGCAGAAGCTCAATAGGAATCCCTAGAAGTGTATTTCCAGCTGCTTGCCTGAAATCCACGCTGCTTTAGACTTTGGGGTTGCTTGCCGTGCTGCTCTGCCTGGAAAGCTACTGTTACACTGATGGGTGAGAACTTGCTTCAGGTTCTTATCGCAACCTTACTTACAGCCAGCATGAACCCATCTGTTTTTGTGCCAACACCACCTCTTCTCTTCTCTGGTGCTTTCAGAGTGTGCTTTGCTCTTGGCTTCTTCTTCCCAAGCCCCACGGTTGCTGTTTTCCAGGTTAGCTGCCTATCTCTGCCGTGCACATGTTTGCTTAAACGAACCCCCGAATGTGACTGACCCAAGCAGGTCTCCTGGGGATGCCACACGGTGTCACACAGAGTTTCTTTGTGCCGTTGTCTTTCACCACTCCATCAGGGTGGTGGCTTGCAGGTCGCAGCAGAAAGCTAATATCCAATCTCTTGTTCCATTGCATTAAAGACCTTCCAGCTATTCAGACAGCTTTTTGAGGAGCCTGAAGCGCGTGGCCTTGCCTTGCTCCATCCCACCTGTATTTCTCTTCCGTGGGAGTTTCTGTGCTGCTCCAATTCTCTGTACTGCCACCAATTCAACTTTTCAAGCTGAAGTTGCTGCTGGAAAATGTTCTGGTAAGGCTGATCCAGATGACGGGTTCAGAGAGCATTACAAGGGGAGCCGTTAGCTGGTGAGGCTGAGGGCAGCATAACCTGTGGCTGTCTTAGACTCATTGCCCCTTTTTTGGTGGATGTCTCTTAAATTGCCGCTTCTTTGGAAGCAACCAACTGCCACGTGTTTCAGGTTGCATGTGAACTCCTCTATAATGCCATACAGAGGGCCTTCAGGTGATCCATCTGGCCTAGAATTCTGCGTACTGGTAAGCAGCAGCAGGTGCCAGGGATAGGAGCACACAAATATGGCAGTTTTGAGGAAATATTGCTCTGTTTTTCTCATTCCAACGTTCTGTGACCTTCCTGAGCTGGGCTTAATAAGAGTTAAATCTTGTGCCCTGCCGGGGATCTGCCCACTCACTTGAATCATTGTGGTGCTCAGAGGACACTAAGCCTGGAGACTGCTTCTTGTGTAGCCCACATACAGGGAAGGGACAGAAAACAACAGGGATGTCAAAAGAAAAAAAAAAATTGCAAGGAGTAGATGTGGAACAAATTGCTTCTTCACTCTTTCCATGGTATTGATAATTTCAGGAGACTCCTTTCTGGGGGAATACACTGATGAAGTCCTGTTCCTGGGCGCTGGCTTGAGCTCTTTCTGGTGATTTTCTTTGGAGTTCGTCATTTCTGATGTCCTGTGCTTTGATTCTATCACCTACTTGTGTCTTGAGGTTTTGCTGCAATTCCTTAGAGTCACTGCCCTTATTTACTGATAATGTTAAATTATTCAGAGTGGCAAATGTTGTCATCTCAGCATTGCCTTCCTTGCGCCGTTCAGTAGAGTGGAGCAGAGCAGAAAGCAGCTGTGAGTCCCTCTGCTACAAAGATGATGCCCTTCTTCCCTGGCTCTTACGTGGATTTTTTTAACCGGTTACTTAAGTTTTTGAAGAATTTTTCCTTTTATCTCGTGACAGCTTTGCTCCCTGCAGACTTTTGGTGAAGGATTCAGGTACCCAGCACAGGTTTGAGCAAGAAGCTATGCAGGGAACGTCCCCATCCTGCTCTGGCACGATACGGTGCCTCGGGTTCTCCTGTCCCACAGCATGGTCCGATCTCATTGTGGTGGCTCATACTCAGCTTCTTGCTGTTGGAGATAAAATGAGGCACCGCCACCCTTCCTGCATGTTGCTGGGGAGGAGTTGCTTTATGATGTTTAAGAACTGGTCCTGGTGTTGCATGTTGACACAACGCTCAGTGGTTTGTGTGGAGGCTCAGTTTAATTCCGTGCTTCCTGCTTGTCCAACCCCCTGGTGAGCACAACTCTGCTGCTGTCGCTGCTGGTGCGGCTGAGGCCATGCTGGTTTGAGCTTGGATTTCTGATTCCCTTCTTCATGACGTGTTGAGCTTGGATCTTGCAGAGGTTCAGTGCTTGGACACCGAGTGTCCTGTTGACCCCTCTGCCCTTCCCTGTGGTTTCAATGCGTGCTGCGCCCGCATCGTTGCTTAGAAAGCAGGTGCTTAAAG